ATACAGACTGTGTGGGTCTCCAATTGGGGGGTGGGGTTGAGGTATGGAAGAAAGTGGGTGGACAAATGTGAGGGGAATGAGAGGGGACCACTCCTTGCTGTCAAACTACATCAGCACTGGGGGATGGGGCACAGTCGTTGGATGAGGCCTGATATGGGGAAGAATGTTCTGAGTGTTACTTGAGAGGTTCTGATAGTTCTGTGACATCGTTGGCTTCATTGCATCAGGGTTAAGGAAAATTTTCCAAGTCCTACTGACTGACCAAGTCCACTTTATTTGCATACACAGGCCCAGGAACATGTTGCAAAGCCGGGCCAGGAGAGTGGTTCACTCTGTTCTGCTTTTCATCCTCTGATGAGGCAGTCCATGTCCTCTGCTGATCTAGATGAGCCGGCTGTCCTGTCCCTAGCCCTGGATATTGTGCACCCCAGCGGGAGTTGCAGCCTAGCAGGGGAGTTTTCCGTGTTCCTCTACCAGGTCTGCTTCAAGGCCAGGATATCATGTGTACTGGCAGGTGCTGTGGCATTGCTTCCATGGTCTGCCCTCAGTCCTGGCTTTTGATCTAGGCCTAAGGGTGCTGCAGCCTGGTCCAGCCTAGCTTTGTCCCAGCTCCAGCAAGTGTCAGGTAAGTTTCACCATTCAGGCTTGATCAGCCCTTCCCACCCTCCTTGCTTTCTGCAAACTGATGGATGCTGCAGTCTCAGAGATGAGCTGAAAGCTAGATTTTTTAAAGGCAGGTATGGACTTGCCTCGAAGCCAATCGGGTTAGTATTGCTGGAAACTTTCTTTCCATGAAGAACTAGAATCTTTATTTGTTCTGTGAAAATTTATTTAGAACACAATGTGTCCTGGGTGCCAGATAAGTAAGACAGACCAAATTTGGCTTAATGGATTTGACAGACTTAAAAATGAATAAAGTTGGATTTTGTTATCACACAGGTGTCCCCCTAAAGTACACAGTGAAATGTTGCCCAGCAAGTAAAATAAGCAGGAAATGCCTTGTGGATTTTCCTGAAAAGATGGTAAAGAGGAAATAGTACAAAATTAGTCAGTACAGCGCCAGGAATGGTAGCCTAATGGCTAAAGTCCTTGCCCTGCATGTGCCAGGATCCTATATGGATGCCAATTCTAATCCTGACAGCCCTGCTTCTCATCCAGCTTCCTGCTTGTGGCCTGGGAAGGCAGTCGAGGTCTGCCCAAAGCCTTGGGATCCTGCACCCATGTGTGAGACCTGGAAGAAGTTCCAGGCTCCTAGCTTCGGATCAGTGCAGCTCCAGCCGTTGCAGCTACTTGGGGGAATGAATCATCAGACAGAAGATGCTACTCTCTTTCTTTCCTCTTCTCTGTATATCTGCCTTTCCAATAAAAATCAAACAAAAACCTTTAAAAATTTTGTTCAAATAGTACAAAATTGGGCTGCACCAGCAGACAATAGCTGGGACTGGGGACGGGATGGGTGGAGCCAGGCTGTAACACTTGCTGGTGAATTCTGAGACTGGGGCTGGGCCTTCTCAGACTGGGCCACTACACCCACTGGCACATGGAAGATGTGGGGCTGGGAGTCAGTGGTGACACCTTTTGGCATATATCAGTGCCAGGTTGGGCTAAGGTAAGCCGCAGCACCCATGAATGTGCACAAAAGCTGGATGGGATATGAGTTGGGCTAGCCTAGGCTGCAGCAGAGGCTGGCATATGCGAAAACCAGGCTGGGGGCAGGCCTGGTGGGGATTATTGGAAATCATTTATACTAAGCCATGACACAAACTGGTACGCATGAAGACCAGGTCTGTGGCAGGCTGGACTGGGACTGGGCCACAGCACCAATTGGTTTGCACAAGATACAGTAGGGCTGGGGCAGAATTGACTAGGAACCTGCACTTACCAATATGTGCATCGGTTGGTGCATGCAACAGTTAAATCTGAGGTCACCCTAGTTGCAGTTTTTGGAGGATTCCCTGACTATACTGATGGACTCAGATCCTAGCCACAGGGAACATCACAATATGTGTAGTACGACCTTGGAGTACATGTACCAGGATCGTGCTGTCTCAGTCGCTGATGTCTGTGCAGTGGACAAGCAGGCCTAGATACGTATAGGGGACATGATCTAGGCCTGTAGGGGACACTGACTTCCTCAAGAGGATGGAAAGTAAAACAGGTTGGACAAATCTCCTGACCAAGCTTTGTAGCATGTTCCTGGGCTTGTGCATACATGAAGGTAGAATCTGTCAACTAGTAGACTTTTGAAACCTTTTCTTACCCTTGGAGCAATACAACCAACAACTTTTCAGGACTGTAAGAACCACTCTAGTAATACCCTTGGAACACTCTGTCCCACATTGGAGTCTCTAAGGTGTCATCAAAGGAACGTTCCTAATCCCCAGGTGCTGACTTGGTTTGACAGCAAGCAACAGCTCCTTCCTCCTTCTCTCCTGTGGACATAGGAGAAAACAAAACAAAACCAAACACTGAAACATTTGTGCCATCCACCTCTCTCCATACCTTAATCAGAGGCCCACATAGGTATATATCCCTGCCAACTATGTAAACAATATTAAAAAGAAAACTGGAAATAAAAAAAGCCATTAATTCACCATGTACTAGGTCCTGTGCAAGACATTTTGCATATTGTTTATACCCTGGAATGTGTGGGAAAAGAATGCAGCAGGAAATTTTGATCCTCCTGGAAAATAATCGTAGCCTATAAACATCCAAGGCAAGGGCAACTCAAACTCTTCACCAGAACCAGCATTTTGCATTGAGCTCATCACGTGGTACAGTGGATTAAACTGCCCACTGTGACACAGGCATCCTTATCGGCGCCCTGGTTCAAATCCCAGCTGTCCCACTTCCTCAATCCAGTTCCCAGCTGGGAAAGCACAGGAAGATGATCCGTATTCTTGGGCCCCTGGCACTCTGATTGGAAAACCCAGATGGAGCTGTGCACTCTTCGTTTCAGCCTTGCCTGGCCCAGCCTCAGTCTGTGCAGCCATCTGGGGAGTGAGCCAGCACACAGATGATCTCTCAAGGACTCTTTCAAATAGATATCTTTTTTAGAAAGAAGGTCTTTCTAAGGACACATGCTTTAAAAAGCTGGGGCCAATCACTTTGCTGGAGGGCTCACTAAACATACACATAACCCACAGAAATCACGGTCAGCAGGCATAATAAAACAGAAGAGGTGTCTGAACGAAGAAAACCATTTCCAGGTCCCACCTATGTATAGCATCTGGTCGCTGGACTCGGTCTGACAAGCTCAGCGACTCTTTCAGAGCTGAGAATGGACTTTGGTTTCCAACAATCTATATCACACAGATAAAAATGGCAAACTGTGCCACAGAGCGGAAGCCTCACACTAATAGCTCATCTCACGCAGCTACAGAAGTAGCAAATAAAGCACTTCAGGATAACTTCTCAGATAGGAAGGAGTTGGAGTCACAGCAAGGAGAAAGCAGTGTCTGTGAGCCACTGTGCAGGTGCACTCAGAGTGGCCTGGACCACACAAGTACAATTAAAACTTGAAACTAGAAGAATCAGCCTATCCTTCACACTGAGACTTGTAGCTAAGACAACCAAGATCAACGTGAGATTTAGCCTAGTGGCTAAGTCCTCGCCTTGAATGCATCAGGATCCTACATGGGCGCTGGTTCAGGTCCCAGCTGTTCCCCTTCCCATCCAGCTCCCTGCTTATAGCCTGGGAAAGCAGTGGAGGACGGCCCAAAGGTTTGGGACTCTGCACCCACATAGAAGACCCAGAAGCTCCTGGCTCCTGGTTTCGGATTGCCCCATCTTTGGCTGTGGTGGCCATTTGGGCAGTGAATGAGCAGACGGAAGATCTTTCTGTATCTCCATCTCTTATGAACCTATTTTTCCAATAAAAATAAATAAACGTAATTGTTTTGCTTTCAAAATTCCTTGCTTTTCTGGCAAATGGATGGTAAGGGTGGTCACTCCAAACCCCTCCTTGGACCCCAGCTGGGACTCAACTGCTTCATGGGCACTGGCAGGCAGTGTGCTGGAGAAGCCTGCTGTCTTTGAGGTGATGTATGATACTTATGTAGACACTGCTGCCTGATATTCTGGCTTCCCCACTTCCAACCCACGTTCCTGCTATGAAGTCTGAGCAGACAGCAGGCCAGGGTTACTGCTGCCCCCATGTGGGAATGGGATAGGGTTCCTGGCTCCTGGCTGAATCAGTTGTTGCAGGCATTTGGTCAGTGAACCAGAGGATTAAAGTGCTCAGTGTTGTAGTGAGGTAGGCAGTTAGTTCAGGTCACAGCTTGGAAGCCACACCACCCCCAACTACGTGGTCCCTCCTGCCCACCTATCACCACCTGGCACCTGAAAGGGGATGGTATTGCACTGTTGTGTAACCACTCCCCTTGCAAGCTCCCATAAGGGCCTGTAACAGGGAGGGGCTCGCTCTCTTGGTCTTGTGCCTCCCTTGCGCTGGCACTCCTGACTCTTAGCCTTCCCAGGACAGGCTGTGCCTGATCATGGTCCCTGTATGTCTGTATTCCTCACCTTCTGTTCACTGCTTGGGTGGGACAATGAAGACAGCAATGCTAAGATGCTTTGTATTTCTAATTTGTGCACTATTAAGAGTTCCAAGAGGTGAGGCCTAGCAGTAGTGGAATGTGGGCAGAGAAGCCAGGGAAAGGTGAATGTCTGCAGCTTTGTAAGTGTGTCCAGGTTATTCATTGCATGTCTCTTAGGATAACTTACATTGCTGGGGAAGCTGGGACATAGGTCTGCAGCTTAACGGATGGACTTCAGGTAATGACCATTTGCTCCTCTTCACTGGACTGCCCTATGGATTTGTGATTTGCTATTTCTAGTGGGCTCTGTTATCACCAAGCTTGGTTAATGAAGACTCCTTAATAAACCTTAGACATGTTTGGCGTGATCTCACTTTCACCACACAAGTGTCTCCCTCTTTTTTTGGTCAGTCTGCCCCTAAATCAATCTTGAAAAAAAGAAGATTCTATGCGACACAAAGCTTTAAGTTAAAAAGTTATTTATTTAAAAATACTTTCTCCCATGTCTGACTCCTTATCAAGTAAAATCAAGGAGTGATGTTACAAGGCAGTAACTGCACAATTTCCCCTTTAGCTCATTAGCATAATCTACTAAGTAGATACACAAATCCAATTCATCAGCTTCTTCACCTGTAAATGCTCAAAATTTATTTATGAAGTTCCTCTTCATAATTCATTTAAATTCTCTTCATAATTCAGCTAATATAAAATGATACGGGCTTAAAAAGAGCAGACGAGCCATGATTTGGATTTTCCTTTCCTTGCAGGATTCAAAGAAAACACGACTGTCAAGTCTCTTCATGGATCACCAGTGAAGCACCCCCCTGGCTGAGTCCCCCACATTTCCGCTGCACTCTTCGTCTCCAAGTGGGGAGTCTGCTGGGGACAAAGCCTGGAGAGCTCCAGAGAGGCCACTCCAACCTCAAAGCTTACCCAAGTATTTCTCATGGGTGTTCAAGTTTTTATGAACTCGGAATTAATGTATAGAATAAAGGCATTAAAAACAGCTCTCAGAAACAGACACTCAAAGGAAATCCTTTAGTATTCTTGGCATTTAGTATTCTGGTTTCTGTTCTGATGATTCAAGAAGTCAGTCTTCTCTCAACCATTTCCTGATAAGCAAGAAACCTTCTCAAATTCATCCTCACGTTGTCCAGAACACACAGCTGGTCCGGACTGTACTTGCCACGACCTTCTCTTCGTATCTGCCAAAGAAATTGTATGTGACTTGGGATATATTATTGATTTCACCTGAACAAAGTGTTTTAGGGGTGTATGAAACCATTTTCCAAACAAGACAGCTGCAAGAATTTGGTGACATGCGTCTACTTGTAAGACAAACACAACAGAATCAGAACGTGCATCTTGACAATATCTGAGGTACAGACTGAATTTCACTCTTTCTGAATTATCCCTAACCGCTGGCTAGCCAGGGCAGTGGCTCCCATGGAAGGTCTGCTAACCAGCAGCCCTATTACTCTGCTCCTCAGCCAGCACGGTGGAAGCTGAGGCTGTGGATCTGCGTCCTGAACAAAGGTCTTGAGTACAATACACCTGTGGTAGCTACACACAACCTGAGGCTTACTACATACATGGAAAAGCTCTTAATCCAACCATGGCTTCATGGTTACAACAGAAGAGTATCCCATAAGAAACTTGCCTCTAGCCAAGGAACAAAATTTAATTAGTGTTTTATATCTTTTAAAAAAGAGAGAATCACACAGGATTACCACAACAACACACACTAAGGAGGAAAAGTAACCAGTTCTGACCTTGCAGAGGTTGGAAAGGAGCTAGCAGCTTTCCCAGTTCCCACAGCTGACCCCTCCTTTTTAAATTCTATTCTGTTTTAAAATTTATTTAATTGAAAGACAGAGTTACAGAGAAGAGGGACAGACAGAGAAAGGTCTTCCATCTGCTGGCTCACTCCCCAGATGGCTGCAATGACTAGCGCTGGAACAGATCAAGGCCAGGAGCCAGGAGCTTCTTCCAGGTCTCCCACATGGCTGCAGGGATCCAAGCACTTGGATCATTTTCTGTGGAACAGGAGCTGGGACAGTGCCCATATAAGATGTTGGTGTCAGGTCACCATGATGCCTAGCGTCTAAAGTCCTCACCTTGAATCCGCAGGATCCCATATGGGCGGCAGTTCACTGGCCCAGCTTCCCATGGGAAAGCAGTCGAGGATAGTGCAAAGCCTTGAGATCTTGCACCCATGATGGAAACCGAGAGGAGCTCCTGGCTCCTGGCTTTTTTGGATCGGCTCAGCTCCGGCTGTTGTGGTTGCTTGGGGAGTGAATCATTGAACAGATTTTCCTCTCTGTCTCTTCTCCTCTCTGTATATGACTTTGCAATAAAAATTTAAAAATCATAAAAATGTCGGTCTCGCAGACAGCACCGCTGTGGTGCTGTTGTATCACAACAAGGGCCAATAAACCCTTCAAACACACACAATGAATGTTTTTTTTTTTTTTTAAAGATTTATTTTTATTATTTTTTCATTGGAAAGGCGGATATACAGAGAGGAGAGACAGAGAGGAAGATCTTCCGTCTGATGATTCACTCCCCAAGTGAGCGCAACGGGCCGATACTATGCCGATCCGAAGCCAGGAGCCTCTTCCGGGTCTCCCACGCGGGTGCAGGTTCCCAAAGCTTTGGGCCGTCCTCGACTGCTTTCCCAGGCCACAGGCAGGGAGCTGGAAGGGAAGCGGGGCTGCCGGGATTAGAACCGGCGCCCATATGGGATCCCGGGCGTGCAAAGCGAGGACCTTTAACCACTTGCGCCACCGCGCCGGGCCCACACAATGAATGTTATGAAGAAAGGGCACAGGCTGCTAAGAGGCCTGACCTTGTAAGGGCGGCAAGGAAGGACTTTAAATTCTTTAAAGATTTGTATATTAATTTTGAAAGACTGTCACTGCACCTGTTTTCCTTGCAACTGCAGGGATAGATGGGATGTTTCCTCCCCTCTGCAGGTCATTCTAAAGGGATTGTAACGCTTGAGAACATGGAAGCCCTCTGCATATTATTAGCGACATAGTGCTGAGTAACAAAGCCAGGTGCAGAACTGGGCACCTAACTGCCACCTTCCAGGTAATAACGGGAAGCGCTGAGGTGCACTGTCTTTGCTTTGGGACATTTGCGTATTTATAATACACAAATGATCTAATTAAAAAATTAGCCTGTTATAGATTTACTGAGGTTTGAGCACCACCTGTGTGTGGCTGCCACATCCCACCCTCGCGTGGGCCTCATGCAGCCAACGGCCAGATAAGCCCACCCTGGCTTCAGCAACCACCACGCAATCTGGTTACCTGTGTTCAAAATACACACACAGAAACACTACAGCACAAGCAAAGCATAATGAAGATAAATTGTTCATTTTTCTCCCCCACAAGTGAGTCAGCTTAACTTAGTAAATGGCAGTCACTATAATTAAATAAAAAAAAATATGACATGCCAAAACATGAAAATGCCGAAACAACCAACATTGGTGTTTTAACCCAATGCCATCTTCTGGCTTAACTCCAGGGACTGCGCACCACTGCACTCTTTTTCTTCCAGAAAACAAATATTTTTTACACCTTAAAATTCTTCCACAATAATTTTTTTCTTTTTTTCTAAAGATTTATTTTTTTTATTGGAAAGGCAGATATACAGAGAGGAGGAGAGATAGAGAGGAAGATCTTCCATCCGATGACTCACTCCCCAAGTGACCACAAAGGCTGGAGCTGAGCCAATCCGAAGCCAGGAGCCAGGAGCTTCTGGGTCTCCCACACGAGTGCAGGGTCCCAAGGCTTTGGACCATCCTCAACTGCTTTCCCAGGCCACAAGCAGGGAGCTGGATGGGAAGTGGGCCTGCCAGGATTAAAACTGCCGCTCATATGGGATCCCGGCGCGTGTAAGAGGAGGATTTTAACCACTACACTATCACGCCAGGCCCCACAATAATTTCTTAACATACAATCACATCCACCCAAAAAACCGATCAGAATTCTCTCAATGAAAACTAAATCTGGCTAAGACTTTGTTAGTTGAAAGAAATACTGGGCACACTCACATACACACTCTTGACATTAAGATAAACTGGATTTTTTTAAACATTAGCTTACTTATTTGAAAGGAATCTAAGAAAGACAAGAGGTGGACAGCGTGACCTTCTATCCCCTGGTCCATGACCTGATTCACTCCCCAAGCGGCTGCAATGATCAGGGCCGGGTTGGGCCGAAGTCACAAACCAGGAACTCCATCCTGGTCCCTGACACAGGTGGCAGTGGCCTCAGCATTCGAGCATTTTCTACTGCCTTTTCCGGCTCATCAGCAGGGAGCTCATCAGGAAGAGAACAGCCAGGGCACAAACCAGTGTTCCATTATAAGATGCAAGAACCACAGAGAGCAGCTTAATTCACTATGCCACAAGGCCAGCCCTAGAAGAAATACTTCATTCAAAATCTAAAACTGGACCCAGTGCCGTGGCCTAGTGGCTAAGGTTCTTGCCTTGAATGGGCCCGGGATCCCACATGGGTGCTGGTTCTAATCCCAGCGGCTCCACTTCCCATCCAGCTCCCTGCTTGTGGCCTGGGAAAGCAGTCGAGGATGGCCCAAAGCTTTGGGACTCTGCACTCATGTGGGAGACCTGGAAGAGGCTCCTGGCTTCTGGCTCCAGATCGGCAGAGCACCGGCCATTGCGCTCACTTGGGGAGTGAATCATTGGATGGAAGATCTTCCTCTCTATCTCTCCTCCTCTCTGTATATCTGACTTTGTAATAAAAAAATAAATAAATCTTCAAAAAAGAAATCTAAAATTAACACATGGAACCAGCACTATGGCACAGCAGGTTAAATCAGTTTCCGATGCCAGCATCCATACCAGAACAATGCTTTGTGTCACAGTTGCTCCACTTCTGATCCCAGCTTTCTGCTAAGGGGCCTGGGAATGCAGCAAAAAATGGCTCAAGTGCCCATGAGGGAGATCTGGATGAAGCTCTGGGCATCTGCTTTACTCAAAATCACTTAAAGATTTAGTGTGGGACAGACTGTGTTAGTCTGCTGCACATACTGGCAAGCACGGGAACCAGGGCAGGGGGCGGGCCTGGTGGGGGTCATTGCGGGTCGCTCCGACCAGGCTGCAGCTCCCACTGGTTTATGTGAGGGCCAAGTGTGTGCTGGGCAGAACCAAGCTGGAATGTAACACCCACTGGTTCTGGTGGAAGACACAGCTGGAAACAGAACCAACCCAGCAACTGCAACCACCAGTTGATTGGGGCGATGGACTGTGCCGGGCCCTGTACTTACTAGTACATACAAGAATCTGGTCTGGGAACACCTCAGAAGTTTCTTTGGAGATTTCCCCAATCGAACTGCTGGACTCAGATCCCTAACCGTGCAAAGACAGAGGACAGAACAAGTCAATCAACTACCTCAGCCATACGTTGGCAGTGAAAAACAGAGCAAACGGAGACTCTAAGAAAGACTATGTCAACCAGTGGATTCTGCAGTGACTTCATCGTGCTTGGAATGCGAGATTGGCAGCAATTCATAACTGTTGAACTATCAAAACCACCTGAGCAAGACCCTCGGAGCATGCCCCACATCGGGGCTTGGGAAGGGTGGGTGGGGCTTCTCCCTTTACCTCCCCCTTTATCCCAGATATAAGAAAAAAAGTGTGGAAATGATAGTCGTACCCACTTTCCTGTAGCCCTTGAACCTTTGTGCCCTAATTAACTATGTAAAGATTGTCAAAAATATAATAAGAAAATGTTTTAAAAAAAAGATTTAGTTTAAGTTTATTTGAAAGGCAGACTGACATAGGGGGCAGGAAAGGGACAGCATAAGGACAGGAGGGAGAGAGAGAAAAGCATTCCATCCATTGATTTAATCCCCAAATGCCCAATAACAGCTGGGACTGGGTTAAGCCAGAGTCAGGGGCTTGGAACTCCATTTGGGCCTTCCACCCAGATGGAACAGCTGAGATGAACACGGTCACTCTGACCTGGGATGCCACTATCACAGGCAGCAGCTTTACTCGCCACACTACCATGCACAGTCCCCAAACCACATCATCTTTTTTTTTATAAGTATCTTTAAAAAAAAAAAAAAAGATTTATTTCTTTTTATCACAAAGTCAGATATACAGAGAGGAGGAGAGACAGAGAGGAAAATCTTCCATCAGATGACTCACTCCCCAAGTGACAGCAACAGCTGGTGCTGCGCCAATCATAAGCCAAGAGCCAGGATCTCTTCTGGGTCTCCCACATGGGTGCAGGGAGCTGGATGGGAAGTGGGGCTGCCGGGATTAGAACTGGTGCCCATATGGGATCCTGGTGCTTTCAAGGTGAGGACTTTAGCTGCTAGGCCACAGCGCCAGGCCCCAAACCACATAATTTTAAAAGTGAGATTGAGATATGATGAGAAGTGTAAATATTGTAAATAGACATGCAATTCAAATCTGTCAAAATCGCCCTTTCCCTCCACTGAGACATCTTTTGAAAATAACTTTTGAGTCAAAGCTGGTTTGCATGTTTCTGATAAGGCAATAAATAAAACGACTTGTAAAGGCATCAGCTACCGGTGCCTGCCTGAGGGTGCTGGCCTCATCCAACACCACCAAGGGACAGCCACGTACTCAGTGTGACACAATGAAAAGTAAATTCTATGCAAGCTACAGACAATAGTAGTCACATGAGCCAAGCACAGTTAGCATTACCAAACTGCTACAGAAATCGGGCTTGTCAGATCCCATTCAGGCTCACTTACAGCGATTCAACAGTCACACTGCCGGGCTGTGACTCGGCTGACAAGCGTCCTCGGAGTCCTGGGGATGCAGTGCTCTCTTCGTCAGGCACCTGCCTCTGCACTGCGCTGTGGGAGCACACACACCCTCAACCCCAGAGAATGCCGAGTCCCACGAGTTTATAATACAGCAGTTACAAACCTTCATTTTGAAGACTGGTTGGAATTCCTTCAGAGCAGATAATAATTTAATTTGCACTGAGGCCCTTTCAGCTTCTTGACCATCTGCAAAAACATCAAAGAGAGCATCCAAGGCTTCTCCTGCCACCACCAGGGAAGGGTCTTTGGTGGCGACCTCGAGCAGAGAGCATCCGATGGTCTGCAAAGAACAACACACCGCAGAACTAAGATCAGCTCCCAAGTCAACACTCAATTCAGTCACAGAAGGAAGTTAGGCATACCATTTTATATGCAAATTTCATGGAAATTTTAAAATCCTCACAAGATTAAATACTTAACTAAATCTTTGTAACATATCAGATAAATTAAATATACTGTAATCCACATATATATATTTTAAGATTTATTTATTACAAACTCAGATACACAGAGAGGAGGAGACACAGAGAGGAGGATCTTGTGTCCGATGATTCACTCCCCAAGTGACAGCAATGGCCGGTGCATTGCCGATCCCGAGCCAGGAGCCAGGAACCACCGCCAGGTCTCCCACACGGGTGCAGGGTCCCAGGTCCCTGGGCCGTCCTTGACTGCTCTCCCAGGCCACAAGGAGGGAGATGGATGGGAAGGGTATGTGAGGAATAAACTAGCAGATAGAAAAATCTGTCTCTGACTTTCAAATAAAATTAAAATTAAAATTAAAAAAAAGTACAAATAAAGCACGTGATAACGGATGGTGCTGGGCAAGAACTGTTTGAGAGTATGTGGATTTGCTGCTGGCTGAACCATACTTAAATGTCTCTAACTAGGCGTTTTTCAACTGGAAAACCATGAATATGGACTAAGTATCACTCATAATAAAATTAATTGTTTAAGGCATGATAAAAACAGTTTTATAGGAAAAATGTCCCATTTTTAAGATCTCAAAGCCAACAGGGATATAAATACCATGATGTCTAATTTAACAGAAACAGGAAAAGAAATTATATGAGGTACCGATGACAGATTATTAACAACTATTAAATCTGCTTATGCACACATATAATTCATTGTACTTTCTCACTATGTTTCTTCAGGCCTGGAAATGTGATTAAATTAAAACACTTAAAAAAAAAAAAATTCTTGCTGTTCTACCGAAGTGGACCGTGGGATGTCCAGTCTCAAGGGCAGGGGAGTGATCACACACGGACACCCTCAGCTGCGCATGTCCTCACGCGGGCCACGGGCTGGCTCTCCGAGGTCCATCTACAAACCCTGGGCGCATGTGCTGCCTCTGCGGAGGTGGCGTGCACAAGGACTGCGTTTCACTGCACATGACGCTGGGAAACAGGGCGCAAGGGAAGCACGACGGACACTTCGGAACTGTACCGACGTGATGCCTAAAACCTACTCTGTTTACATAAATAAAATAAATTTTGGTGTCTGCATGTATCATTTCCCCCCAAAAGAGATTGTCAAAAATACCAATCATCACTGTAAAGTTCTTAGCAATTAAAAGATTAAATCACTCTACAGGTGCTGGCTTAGCAGGTAAAATCCACTGAGATGCCGACATCCCATGTGGGCACCACCTCTGCTCCAGGTCCCTAAAACCATCTGGGAAAGCAGCAGAAGATGGTCCAAGCGTTTGGGTCCTACACCCACACGGGAGACCTGGCAGAAGTTTCTGGCTCCTGGCTTCGGTCAGGGCCAGCCTGGCTGCTGCCTTTTCTGGGGAGTAAAAGATCAAAGACCAGTAGATCAAAGATTGCTCTTTCTCCTTTGTCTCTCCGTTTTTGTGACTGTTTCAAACAAACAAACAAACAAATAAATATTCTAAGAAAAGCTACTCTATGAAAACAAGTTTCCTGCCCAGTAGTCAATAACAGTTGAGTACTGACCAGTACTGTGAAGTGTGATTTTACCATCACTGACCTTGGAGTCACAGTTGCACCTCTAGCAATGGAGTTACTATGCAATGGAGCTTCAAAGTAGGAGACTGGCATCAAGGTGCAGCAGGGTAAGCTACTGCCTGGGACTCCCGCATCCCAAACTGCCGTCCTGATTCAAGTCCTGCTGGCTCAGCTTTTGATCCGCCTTCCCACTAGCAGTGCCTGGGAGGAAGCAGATGACCCAATGGGAGACCAGAGGGAGAGTCCATGCTCCCGGCTTTGGTTTGGCTGTGGCCAGTATTAGGAAGTATCCTGGGGGACGGAAGATCTCTCTCCCCCTCTCTTTTGTTTTGCCTTGCAAATGAATAAATTAATTTTTCTTTAAAAAGAACTAAAGCATATATGCAGGTTCTTATTGCATTGGCCGTTATCAGAGTTGACACTCAGAACTACATGGAGTGATAGCAGAACTGATGGCGTGGTATTTTTCAGAATTTATCTGGTGTGTCAGGAAAACTTGGCAATCTTGTCAGCAACAGAACATAATGTGTACCCTTTTATGAAACAGCAAAGGTAATAAGCATCTTCAAAAATTATGCATTTGGTCTTTCACTAAAGACAACTACTTGCTTTGGAAAAATTATCTCTAAAGCTAAGAGGCAAAATGTAGCTGAGTTTTCCAAGCGCTTATCAAATACATGTAGACAGCATAAGCCAAAGAATACAGTTCAGTAACAGAACTTCTGGAAGTGACTTCTTAGAACATCTTTTCTGGCCCAAAGAAACTTCAGAAACCCTGTACCAACAGTCCCTGTTCCCTCATTTCTGAAGCCAATCAGTTTACCTTCAGTGTTTCAAGGGTTCCGTTTTCTTTGGCCAGAACACTGCCCGTGATTCCCAATATGCTCACGACGTTCACTCTAACCCCAGGATTGCTGCTAGAAATGCCTGCTCTGCACAGCGTCATCAGCTGCTCCGGGGTCATGCACTGTGAAAGAGAAGAGGACAGCGTATACTGCGTCAAGTTCAGTCAAGCCTAGAACAGGTCAGAATAAGACTGGCTGCATGGGCCCGGCACAGTAGCCTAGCGGCTGAAGTCCTGGCCCTGGACGTGTCAGGATCCGATATGATCGCTGATTCTAATCCCGGCAGCTAAACTTCCCATCCAGCCCCCTGCCTGTGGCCTGGGAAAGCAGTCGAGGACAGCCCAAAGCCTTGGGACCTAGCACCCATGTGGCAGACTTGGAGGTGGCTCCTGGCTCCTGGCTTTGGATCGAACAACACTGGCCGTTGTAGTCACTTGGGAAGTGACTCATTGGATGGAAGATCTTCTCTGTCTCTCCTTTTCTATGTATATCTGACTTTCTAATAAAAATAAATAAATCTTAAAAAAAAAAAAAAAAAAAGAAAGACTAGGTGCATGATTCCAAGAGTGGCATGAACTCCTGAAGGAAGTTGCTCTGCTTCCTAATTATGCCAAGCACAGCTGGCGGTTCTGGAGTAAGAGAAACCCTACTTGTGCTGTCAGCGGCTTCACCTCGGAAAGGGGCCTCCTGTGCAGACGCCTGTCGTCCCGGATGCACACAAGCGCGACAAGGTTCCCGTAACTACAGTGAAAAGCGGCTGAATGTTTACACGGTTGTGCAAGCGTGTGTTCCTGTAATTTACTAAGGGTTGTAAAAGTCATTCAATTACGAGTCATCACATGGAAAAAAAATTAAGTTACAACACAAATTGCTCAGGAACTTCCTGAAGTCCCTTGGTGCAGTGCTGCTGCTGCGTAGTCTGGATTCTCGGTTGAAGCTAGCTGGAGCACACTGCAGCAGGGGGCCTGAAGAAGGGAGACCACCACATTCCTGGCTCTCTAGCAAGCAGCAGTGTGCCTCGTTGAGCAAGAGCTTGGATCTGATGCCAGCACACCACCCTGAGTTGCAATTCTAGTATGCGAGCTGCCCCTGAGCAACGCAGCCCAATGTGACCCCACGATCATTCCCAGTTTTCCACCAGTAAAATGAGGATGACAGAAGTATGCATCTCCCCCAGCTGTAGACAACTGTTAAGTTGCCTTGCACCTAGACAAATGTTACACTGCTGGGAGAAAAGCCCACTAGAGCTGGTGGGCATTCTGGGCCTGGTTAATGCCAAGTTTGTGTGGTTGATGGGCTTATCCTGACCTTGCACTGGCTGGTACACAAAAAGGTCAAGTTTGAGGTCACCCCAGCAAGGTTTCTTGACACATTCCCCAACTAGATGGCTGTAGCCAATCCCCAGCCACAGGGAAAATCACAATATATATAGTCCAACCTTGGGGTGCATGTATTATGACCAGGCCTTCAGCCGCTGTGCAGTGGACAGCATGCCCAGATGCACATGGAGGACATGACAGCCAGCTCATCCAGGCCAGCAGAGATGTGGAGTGCCTCATCACAGAAGGGAAAGTAGAAAAGCTCGGATACCTTCATGACCAAGTTTTGTAGCAAGTGTAGCAAGCTCTTCTCAGTCCTGGTGCAATGAAGCCAATAAAGCCTCAGAACTATCAAAATTATTCAAGGAACACTCCTGAAACACTCTCCTACCTCGGGGTCTCTAAGATGTTATCAAATGCCTGTCCCCCATGCCCAGGTGCTGATGTAGTTTGACAGCAAGGAGCAACTCCCCTCCCCTTCTTCTTCTGTGGACATAGGAGAAAAAAATAACAAACAAACAAAAAACTGAATGATTTGTCCCACCCGCCTTCCTCCATACCTCCATCCTAATCAGAGTGCACACAGGGGCGTGCATCCCTCACAAGTATATAAACAATACTAAAAATTAAATGAAAAAGAACAAAGATCATGCATGGTTCTAGTAACAGACTTCTAAAAGAAGCCAAGTGATGAATTTCACCTCTACCACATGTGCCAGTCTTTACATAAAAATTTGTAACACTCTTACCTGAGAAATGTTCTTGGAGGCCATCGTCTGCAGCAGCGCCCTCAAGGCGCTACTCACAGCTTCTAGAAAGTCAGCATGCTTGGCAAAATCTAAAATACAAATTACCACAAAACACAGTCAATCCAAGCGCGGGAAATGCTAATGTATGCTTTTAATAAAAGCACTTTTTCATGTTTATGCCACTGTGCTTACTAGTCCCTATACTTCATACGTGAGGTCTGAAAGACAAAGCACAGTGGGAAAGACCCCGGCATGACAGTGTGCGGGCTCAACTCCTGCTTTAGCACGTGACGACACTGAGCTGGCTCTGGCTGCAGATGGAGTGCAGCACTTCACAGAGCCCGGCCATGATGCTCCATCTCCTAAGCCCACTGCCCACCCTGGAGCTGCCCTGTGCGTCAGTAAGGCTGGCTCATGATGCCTCTCCATGCTTCTCATGGATCCAACGTTCTCTTCCACATTTGTTCATTTTCATTCTGTCCTTTTTTTCCCCAACACAGGAGAAACAGAACAGCAGCAACAAACGTGTACACCAACACAGCCATGAACAAGGACGGTTGCTGGGGTCAGTCACCGGCCTGACCTCGACCGTGGACACCTCCCTTTGGTGCGTGAGAGTGCATATTCTAAAAATAGCCGCAGTCACCTTCCCAGTCCTCTTTAACCTAGAACCTTGCCACCGCCCACAAAGATGTGGAGTCTGTCTTTGCTCCTTGAACTAGGTGGGACTTTGGTGACGTTCCAGCAGTGACAGGATGGGTCATAAAAGGTGGCATGACTCCCAGCTGACCTTTATATGCTCTCTGTGTTTGCTCTGCACTCTTGCCCTTGGACTCCAGCCACCATGTTATGAGGAAGCAGAGGTCACGTGTGGGTGCTGTGCCCGACCTCAGGGCTGTTAAACCTGCCAGGGAGCAAGACTAAAGTGACTCTGGCTCGCCAGCGCAGGGCAGACACTGGCATATCCCACCCTCAGCAACAAGCATTCCAGAGCAGGTCCTTTGTTGTGGGTGCGCAGGCGTCTCCTGGCATGGCAAGACGCTAGGCAGCACCCCGGGCCTCTACCCTCTTAGAAGCAGGAGCAACCTCTAAACTGTTAACAGCCCCAAATACCTTTAGGAACACTGCCACAGGTCCCCAGGGAGAACAAGCCAGAAAAACTGTCCCTGGGGGAGAGCTCCAGCCACAAAGTGCCAGAGACACAAACCCTCTCCACTGTGCCCTGTCTAAACAACTGACACAGGGAAACCGTAGGGAAAAAAATAATGATTTAACCGTGGGGAAAAAATAATGACTGTTGTTGTTGTTATTTTAAGCCACAAAGTTTCGGAAAAACTAGTTGAAACAGCAACAGACATCTTGGCTTCCTGTTGTGGAAACACACTGGAATAGTTTTATTGTTTCATTTTAATTTTACTTAAACAGTAGAGGGAAAGAGGCAGGGCCCAGCATGAGAGCCTAGTGGCTAAATCCTTGCCTTGCATGCACCAGGATGCCACCCGGGTGCTAGTTCTTGTTCTGGCTGTCCCACTTCCCATCCAGCTGTGTGCTTGTGGCCTGGGAAAGTTGTGCAGGATGACCCAAACCTTGGGACCCTGCACCCATGTGGAAAATGCAGAAGAAGCTCCTGGTTCCTGGCTTCAGATAGGTTCAGCTTTGGCCACTAGGGGAGTGAACCAACAGATGGAAGACCTTTCTCTCTGTATCTCTTCTGTTTATCTTAAATAAATTTTTTTTAAATTAATTACATTGCATTATGTGACCTAGTTTTACAGGCTCTGGGATTCCCTCAACCCCTTCCCATGCCCCCCCCCCCCCGCCCCATGGTGGATTCCTCCATCTTGTTGCAGTCTATAGTTCACATTTTCACATTCAGTTGAGATTCTTTCATTGCAAGCATATACCAAGCATAGAGTTCAGCATCTTATTGTCCAGATAAATTTAATGGTTTCTTGGGGAGACCATCCTTGGTCTGAAAGCAGAGCTGCGAGAATATCATCCCGATCAATTAAAAGCCCCAACATAACATCAACAACAACTTACAACATTATGAAATTAATTGACATAGTATTGAGTAACCAATATGTTAAAAAATGCAAGTTCTTAACCACCTCCTGTAACTATTTCATTGACAGTTTGATTTTAGTTTATATACAACCAGCTTCTATACACCTTTAAATGGCTATTACTATTCAGCTGTCTCGTGTCTATTTTCATTTTAGTATTTAGCAGTTTACAGTGTTGAAGCATAATTTTGCTGAACTTGGCAGTTTTTAGGATAGTCTAAACTGGCTTATTAACTCTAACAAGGCATATGTCAGCAGTTAGGGTGAGAGACATCTTCCACCTACTGCTCATCCCTCAAAGGCTCCCAACAACCAGGGCTGGGCAAGGCTGAAACCAGGAGCTCAGAACTCAGTGTAGGTGTCCTAAGTGGTTAGCAAGGATTCAAATATTTGCTCCATCACCTGCTGCCTCCAACGGCACGCAGAAGCAGGTGGACTCGAGTGATGCTGGGTCTCAAATCCATGTACTCTACAGCGTGGCACCGCAACACTGCGCCAAACTCCTGCCTGCTGTAATGGTTTAAATTGTTTTTAGGTCGCTTGGGTGCAGGAGAGGCAGCTCCTGCATAAACGTAGTCGAGGCCTACATTTTTCTTTTGAGTTTCCCTGGTTAAGCTTTAGTTGTACATTATACACCAAAGCAAAGGAGTTCTGGTAGTCACCACATAACAGATGTCTTTAGGATCAGGTACATCCTGCCCTTATATGATTCTATCTCATTTTTCCCCCCGCTAAAGTTTTATTTGTTTATTTGAAATGCTCACAACAGCTGGCACTGGGCCAGGTCGAAGCCTGAAGCCACGAATTTCATGCAGGTCTCCCATATGGTTAGCAGAAACCCAAGTAAAAACTCAAATACGTAAGCCATTGCCTGCTGCCTCTGATGTGTACTAGCAAGAAGCTGGAATGAAAGCAGAAGCAGGACTCGATCCCAGGTACTCCAGTACAAGACATACGCATCCTAAGTGGTGGCTTAAACAACTGTACCACAATGGCACCAGCACCTAAACTCAGTCCTGCTACAATATTATCTTCTCAAAGAGGTTTTTGCAGACTAACTTAACACAGCATCTCTCACCATCCTTCTTTTTAAAAATAAGTTTTGATATCATTTCTTTCTTTGAGAGGCCAGCAGCACAAGAGAGGTGCTCACGCCATGACTCACCCGAACACCCTCAACAGCAGGGGCTGGGCTGGAGCCACGACCACAGCTGCCTCTCAAGCCTGTGCATCTGACGTGGGATGCGGGCACGTAACTGCTAAGTTAAAGGCCTGCTCCCTTCAGAGCCAAAATTCTGTAAAATATTTGCTTACATTACAATGCAGTCTCCTGAACACCGTGACCTTGTTTTTCTAGTTCCAGCATCTGGAACACCATGTGATATGAAGTGAGTGCTCACCTGCCTAAAGAGTGAAGGACTCTGGTGCAGTGGCTCAATGGCTAAATCTCCTTGCTAGCGCCAGGATTCCATATGGACGCCGGTTCCTGTCCTAGCTCCTCCACTTCCCATCCAGGTTCCTGCCTGTGGTTTGGGAAAGCAGTGGAGCATGGCCCAAGTCGTGGGGATCCTTTATACATGTGTGAGACCCAGAAGAAGCTGCTTCTGCTTTCCCAGGACACAAACAGGGAGCTGGATGGGAAGCGGAGCAGCCAGGACAGGAACCAGCACCCATATGAGATCCCAGTGCTTGCAAGGGGGAGACTTGGCCAACTCAGACACTGCACCGAGCCCCAAAAGGTTCGTCCATACTAAAACTACCCATGATGTGCTATACTTCTCCAATTTTTCTTTTTACTTAGCTCACATTTATGGTCATTTATCTCACTTTTGGAAAGGACCTAAAGCCACTGAGCCTTTCTGCTATATCCTCAGCAAAAGGTCAAGGGACATGGCACAAAGACGCCAAGTAAACGTCATGCAAATGCTGCCAGGGTGAGGCGTAGGTGTCGCTCGCGCGAGCCTGGCCCAGCACGAAGACTGCAGCAGGTCTGAGTCCAGGCAAGCCACTCACTCCCACATGGGCAAGCACAACAGATATAGGTGACTTTTTGTACTTGCTTTCAATATTCTGATATGAACTATGAAACATTCCAGAATGGGATATCGCCATTGGAAATGTAGCAAAAAAGAACTTTCTTATGTTCAAACACGGGGAAAATGGAGATGCATAAATAAAGAGCTCAGAAAAGCAACACATGCTCAATTTAAAAAGGCAACACCACTTAAATGTTTTGAAAACCAAAGAAGAGCCTCTGCTGGAAACAAAGACACAAAGCTATCTGAATGCAAACTACATCTTACTGCAAACTTTTTCTTTTTATCCTTGAAGTAACAACAAGGATGGTATGAACAACAGATTTTCAAAATTTGTGGAAATGAGGGTCCAGCACGACAGCCTAGTGGCTAAATCCTTGCCTTGTGCCTGAGAATGCAGTGGAGGAAGAACCAAGGGCTTGGATCTCTGAACTCGCCTGGCAGATCCCTAAGAAGCGCCAGGCTTTCACCAGGTCCAGCTCCAGCACTGCAGAGATGAACCAGTGGATGGAAGACTTTTCTTTTTCCCTCTCTCTCTGCCTCTTACATCCTGTCATTTTTTTTCCTCCCTGGATCCCTGCCTTATACATAAATAAATCTTAAAAAGGGAAAGAAAGAAAGAGAGAGAGAGAGAAAGAAGAAAGAAAGAAAGAAAAGAAAAGAAAAGAAAGAAAGGAAGGAAGGAAGGAAAGTGAAGAAAGCTGAAAGCATTAGTATGTGGCACAGTGAGCTTAGCCACGGTCCACACACCTCCAGCATCCAATATAGGCACAGGTTTGAGTCCTGGCCGCCTGCTTCCAACCCAGCTCCCAGGCAAAGCAGTGGGAATGCAGCAGAAGACGGCCCAATGACTTGACTGTGACCATCCACGTGGCAGATGCTGACGGATTTCCTAGATTCCTGCCTCCAGCCCGGCCCAGCCCTGGCCACTGTAGCCATTCAGGGAATAAACTAGTCCTGGGAGACCTTTCTCTACTCCCTCTCTGCAATTCTCTTTCAAATAAATAAACTCTTATTTTAAAAACAAAAAAGGGAAGTTGAACTCAGGGCCCAGAACCGGGTACTGTATCCAAGTGCTATTGTACAGCATGTGAGAATCCTGACTAGCACCTTCATTGTTCAGCTAAACACCCACCAAAACATTTATTATTATTATTATTATTATTATTATTATTTTTAAAGTTTTACCTTAGGGGCTGATGCAGTGGCTCAACAGGCTAATTCCCCATCTTGCAGTGCCAGCATCCCATATGGGTGCTGCTTTGAGTCCTGGCTGCTCCATTTCCCGTCCAGCTCTCTGCTTACAGACTGGGAAAGTGGTGAAGCACGGCCCGAGTCCTTGAGCCCCTGCACGCATGCGGGAGACCTGGAGGAAGCTCCTGGTCTTGGACTGGCTCGGCTGTGGCCTCTGCAGCCGTTTGGGGAGTGAACCAGTGGATGAAGATCTTGATCTCTGTCTCTCCTTTTTCTCTGTAAATATGCCTTTCAAACAAAAAATTATCTTTAAAAAAAAAAAAGGCCACGTTAGAAATGGTATACTGGCAGAGTTTAAGGCTCTGACTATGAGAGCAACTTCCCTTATGAGCGCCCATCTGAATCTGGCTGCTCTACTTCCAATCCAACTTCCTGCTAACCTTCCTGGGAAAGCAGTGGAAAATGGGCCAAGACCTTGGGCCGCTGCACCCACACGGGATACCAGGAACAAGCTCCTGGCTTCGGACTGGTTCAGTTTTGGATGCTGGAGGCCAGAATGAACCACTGCATGGAAGATCTCCGTCTCTCCCTCTCTCATACTAACTCTGCCTCAAGTAAGTAAATCCTTTAAAATAAAGACACTTAACATTTATTTTCAAGTCAGAGACAGAGGGAGATACACACGCACATTCACACCAGAGATGGGGTGTTAGGAGATACTGATCCACTGCTTCACTGCTCAGTGCCCACAACAGCCAGGGCTGGAACAGGCTGAAGCCAGGAGCATCATCCAGGTATCCCAGGTAGGTAGAAGAGAGAGCAAACACTTGGGCCATCGTTTGCAGCTTTCCCAACGCCATCAGCATGGGGCTGGGTAGGAAGGGGAGCAGTTAGGACACCCATACGAGATGTTAACATCACAGATGGCAGTTTCACATGCCCTGCCACCACGGCAGCCCTGAGCATTCTATTTTCATTCAATCTTTCCATCTTGTCTCCGACGTTCTCATTCCACTCCTGGGCTCTCTCTCCTTTTCTTCCTGCCTTCTTCCTCCTCTGGCTCAATGTGGCCATCTGAGAACTTCTCTCCCTCCGGCCACAGTTCAGATGTCTTAAGCTGGGAAGAGCGTGACTCGGGTCTGGCTTGCTGATCTCAAGTCTGATCTTTCCTCATCAAAATAGTTGGCTACATTTTCCCACAATTTCAAATCTACCCCCAATTTCTCCAGTACTCAGCGCCACAAAGCCCTCTTGGGATCTTATGAACACGTGTCAACACCTGCACACAGGCATTGGGACAGGAAGAAACAGACCCGAGGGTTTCCATCAGCACAGCAACAGAGCATGTGCACTTATTCAAATGAAATAAATGCTTCCTGCTGGTTGTGGGCAGGGCTGGACAGGGCTGGACGGGGCTAGCTGTACCTTGCCTTGAACAGCCCACAGCAAGCGTTGGAGCTGGGTGCCTGGGCAGTAACCTAGTGGCTAGAGTCCTCACCTTGTACACGTACCAGGATCCCATAGGGGCAACAGTTCATGTCCCCGCAGCCCTGCTTCCCATCCAGCTCCCTGCTTGTGTCCTGGGAAAGCAGTCGAGGACGGCCCAAAGCCTTGGGGCCCTGCACCCGCGTGGGAGACCCAGAAAAAGCTCCTGGCTTCAGATGGGCTCAGTTCTGGCCATTGTGGCCACTTGGGGAGTGAACCAACAGATCGAAGATCTTCCTCTTTGTCCCTCCTTCTCTCTGTATGTCTGACTTTCCAATAAAAAAAATTAAATCTTAAAAAAGAGTTGGCAGCTGGAGAAAACGCCAGCTGACAGCAGTAACTCGAGGCACATTAGCCTGGGCAGGCCCTGTTCCCTGGGGACGGTGCTTGTGCACTCCCTCAGTGAAGGGAGGGCAAGGTGGGAGGGACATGGGCAATAGCAAATGTCCCTTGCCCCTAACCAAGCTGGCTGGGTCAATGGGAGTCAGAGGCTGGAAAAGGTAAATGAAAGCTCCATCACAAGACTTCAGGTTTCTAGGAAGCTGGGGAGAGAAATACAAGCTGCAGTCGTCCTCTGGCCAGCTCAGCCTGATAGGCCAGCTTTGCCCTCTCATGCTTGGCCAGTCCTGGCCTGGAACGGAACGAGGCTGGCACTGCCCATATCCTGTTTTGTGCATGGCTTTCATGTGACCAGTCGAGCCAATAAACGCACCAACAGCCTTAGGGCACTTAAAATTTGCATCTGTCAGGGCTGGTACTGTGGCTCAACTTGGCTAATCCTCTATCCTCAAGCACCAATATCCTACATTGGTGCTGCATCATCTCCCAGCTGTTCCATTTCCCATCCAGCTCCCTGCTTGTGGCCTGGGAAAGCAGTAGAGGATGGCACAAAGCCTTGGGGCCCTGCACCCACGAGAGAGACCAGGAAAAAGCTCCTGGTGCCTGGCTTTGGATCAGCTAGGCTCTGGTCATTACATTCATTGGGGGAGTGATAAAGGAGATGGAAGATTTTTCTCTGTCTTTCCTTCTCCCTGCAAATCTGCCTTTGAATAAAAATAAATAATTCTCAAAAAAAAAAAAGAAGAAGAAGAAGAAGAAGAAGAAGAAAGGAAAAGAAAGCAAGCGAGCAAAAAAGGCCCAGCACAATAGCCTAGTGACTAAGTCCTTGCCTCGCAACGATCGGGATCCCATATGGGCGCCAGTTTGTGTCCAGGCTGCTCCACTTCCCACCCAGTTCCCATCCAACACACACTACACAAAACCGAGCGGTAAAATTCTGCATGAGGCTTATGTGGACACAAACACACACACATCTCTTTCGCACCCAGAGATTCTTTTTGGAAGAATACATAAGAAACTAGCGTAACAGTGATTCCACCTTAGGAGAGGAACAGCTCTTAGTGTCTAGGGAAGGGGTCCACGTGTTGGATGACGATCATCACACAGTATCCAAGTTCACGACCAGGCCGAAGTACTTACCGGGCTGAGAGAAGATGAGTTCTGACAGATGCTGTGCCAGGGCCTGTAGGGCTGGGGCTCCTCCCAGATGGTCCACATCCAGGACGGACAGGAGGCTCTGCACACACACGAGGGCTCTCCACTGCACAGTGTTCATTCTGGGAGGGAAGGGGTCAAGTTACAAAGACAGCTCAGCATCAACTTTCAACCTAAGTCTCTGGTTCTAACTGGGAAGAACTGTAAGTACAAGGCGTGCTCGGCAGATACCAAAGAGTCACATAGTCAGTTTCTCAACCACCAAAGTGCCTGGGTCCTGCAAGTCCCCTACACACCGCTGGCTCACGAGGCATGAAAATGTACATCAGAAAAATTTCTAGACAAGGTAGCATCTTATACTCATTTTTTGTTGTGAAATCTCTCTCTCACATACATACAAATGAGGACACGTCAAAAAATTCACAAAAAAATGTATTTAAAAGATAGGTTACTGTTGGCGTTGCATTGCAGTGCGTTAAGCTGCTTTCTGCAGTGCTGACATCCCACACAGGTGCCAGTTCGAGTCCTGGCTGCTCCTTTTCTGATCCAGCTCTCTGCTTCCATGCCTGGGAAAGCAGTGCAAGATGGCTCAAGTGTTTGAGCTCGTGTACCCACATCAGAGACCTGAAAGAAGCTCCTGGTTTGGATCAGCTCAGCTCCAGCCACTGTGGCCATTTGGGGAGAGAACCAGCAGATGGAATATCATTCTCTTTTTTTTTTTTTAAGATTTATTTATTTTTATTGGAAAGGTGGATATACAGAGAGGAGGAGAGACAGAGAGGAAGATCTGTCATCCATTTGTTCACTCCCCAAGTGGCCACAATGGTCAAAGCTGAGCTGATCCCAAGCCTGCAGCCCAGAGCCTCTTCGAGTTCTTCTGTGTGGGTAAAGGATCCCAAGGCTTTAGGCCTTCTTTGATTGCTTTCCCAGGCTACAAGCTGGATGAGAAGCTGGGCTGCTGGATCAGAACCGGCGCCCATACGGAATCCATGCACATGCAAGGCGACGACTTTAGCCACTAAGTTACCATGCCAGGCCCCGGTCACTCTATTTCTATCCCAGCTTTTTTTTAGATCCTGTCATCCATGTGGAGAGCAGAATGCAGTTCTTGAGTCCTAGCTTTGGTCTGTCCCCAGACCTACCCACTGGCAGTCATTATCATCCGGGGAAGTGAATCACTAGATGGGAGATTTCTGTATCCATGGGTCTACCTTTCAAATAAGTGTTTCTTTTCTTAAATGATTTTAGTGTACAAAACTTAAAAATTCAGGTTCAACGTTTTATAATCTGTATTTTCTCTCTCTAAACTTTTGAAGTTTAACAAATAAAAATAATAATAATTCTTGTAAAGCAAGAACATATGGACCTGGGTAAGAATAAACAATGCCAATGCCCACAGAGCCTTTATGTTCCTACACCCTGATCTTAGCAGGCTCCCACGACCCAGAACTGTTCAGTAAGCACTTCCTTTTCTCTGTAGCCTCATTAGCTGCACCTATATCCTAAACCACAAAGTTGGTGCTGTTTGGTTGCTTCACAACCAAGATGCCGCCCTACTGTGTGTATTCAATGGTATGCTGCCTCTTGTGTCCACACTGTTAGCGTTTCCCCGGGCTGTGAGGAGTTCCAGTGATCGCTTGCTTCTTTGTGCACGTCCTGCCGGAGCCCGGCCCTGCTGTGGCTAGCTGACACGAGTGTGAGGCTCAGCACCACCGACACTGCCATGTGTGCCTTCACCCTTCAAGATGCTTCCCCCCCACACCCGGGCACCTTCTACCTCATGGCCCACCATTTCACACCACAACATAAAGGACAATTTTGAAGACACGACACTCCTTACTTTCTGATCAAAGGTTTCCATGTGGGGCTCCTAGAACAAACATCAACTGCAATGCTGTTTGGAAAGGCAGTTTTCTCAAAAACCTAGATTAAAAAAAAAAGACAGTACAGGGTTGTCATCACAGGCACCATTTCCTTGTGAAATGCCAGCACATTATGTATGAGTGAAACAGTTAGGTCTGGTCAAGACAGAATAACCCTTCCACCTGTTTCTAGGACTGCTGGTTCTGCTTTGTGACCCGAATCTATCCATCACTTTCCATCACACTGGGAAGTGTGAGCCGAGCTGACGGCTTTGTGCACACAGAAGGCTCCCATCAGGCCCAGATTACCTTCTTCGGGATGAGGTAGTTGGTGAGAGCGGTGTGAACCTCGTGGGAGAGGCAGAGGGGAGACAGCAGCTGCCCACCATCCTCGCTGAGGGAGCTTTCCATGAAGGCGTCGCTTTCATCACTGCTCGAGAGCTCTTCCCACTCGTCGTCGGAGGGATCTGCGAAGAGGGCACAGCGCACGGGGCTGGAGCAGGCCGACGAACCCCCGGGGAGCCCGCCCTCCGGAGCCACGAGGAAGCGTCCAAGCGCCAAGTGGGAACGAACCGTCAGTGCAGCACATGTTGACGATGATCTCCAGAGCGGTCTGCTGAGCTGTCAGCAGAGCCGTGGCCTCGCGCAACTCCTTCTCAGTGGGCTGTGGAAGAGAGCCAATGGCAGACCTCTGACGCTTCTGAACATAGTTTAGCGCGACTGTTCTCCTAAGGGAAGTCTGTACTTGGAACGCATCACAGGGGCCTCAGGAGGAGGGAAGGAAACTCACACAGTGCTACAAGTACAGACAAGCATTTCTGTTCTTCCTGGCATGAGGCCGCATGGCACCCATCTGCAAAGGTATTCTCTAAATGTTGCTAAGGCAGCTGCACAGAACATAGATACTCAGGCATCCTGAACTCGGTTTACCCCGAAACTTGATCTAAGGTATTCAAAAGCATTTAAGCACACTAAGATTAAAGCCAAAGTTCATTTCAGACACCAGGCACTTAAAACACAATGGACCTGCTTTTAGACGCTCAGCCATTCACAAACACTACAATTGAGACCTTGTACGTCAGGAGAGCCTGCCTGGCTGTGGAGCAGGCAGCCAGGCTTCTTAAAGCAACTGAGACTGAAAGAAGAAAGAGGTACTTTTCTTGGAAAAAAAAAAAAAAGTAACATCAACGTGCAACTTTTATCAACATTTCATAAAATGGGTTGCATAAATTTCTATGACCTGAATTCTCAAATCATCAATTATAAAGATAAAATAGCCACACTAATCTTTCAAAAATAGTGCAAAAGCTAAAAATAACGTATAATTTGTGATCTGGTTCCAAATTTTGACCTTTGCTGCATGATATTCCACTAGATGGTTATACAATTTAGTGAGGATTCCACCAGTGTGGGATACTTCAATTAATGGTCAGCTTTCCACATCCCTGGGTTCAGATCCAATTGAGAACAGAAAATAGCTAGTTAAAAAATGTGGTGCTGGCATCTCATATGGGTGCAGGTTTGTGTCCTGGCTATTCCAGCGTCTAATCCAGCTTCCTGCTTACAGCCTGTGAAAACAGAAGGTGATGGTGCAAGGTCCTGGGTCCCTGCATCCAAGTGGAAGACCCAGAGGAAACACCTGGCACCTGGCTTTGGACCAGCCCAGCACTGTGACTGACTGGGGAGTGAAACAGCATATGAAAAATCTCTGCATCTCTAACTTTGCCTTTCAAATAAAGTAAAAAATTGAGCATGCATTGAATATCCAGCTTTTTCTTGTCGTTATCCTTAACAAAGTACGACAACTGTTTACAGTATTTAGATTGGATTAAGTATCGTGAAGAATCTCAGATAAGTTACATTCAAATGCCAGGCCACTTTACCGAAGTGATTTGGCCATCCTGAAGCTACGGTATCCACCCAGGGTCCTGGAGCTCACATGGAGGGATGACTGTACTCCAATGGCTTACCTCTTTAAGGTCACTGGATCAAGCTGGCTTGCAGATCCACAACAGCCCTATGTTCCTTTCCAAGATGTTCATACTCATTTACAATTCTACCAACTTCTTCATGCAACAGTTTAACCACAATGTGGAGTTATGCTGGCTTTGAAAAGCCAATTGCTTACTTACTAGATATAACCCAGAATTTTCTACATTTGTATTAAATTTATTGGTAGTAAGAATATATTTGGGGAGGGGGGTAGGTGTGATGGCTCAATGGCTAAATCATCACCTTGCAAGCTCTAGGATTTGATACAGGCACCAGTTTGCGCCCAGACTGCTTCCCATCCAGCTCCCTGTTTGTGCCTTGGGAAAGCAATAGCGTGTGGCTAAAAGCTTTGGGACCCTGCACCCACCTGAGAAATCTGGAAGAAGCTCTTGGTTTCAGATCAGCTCAGCTCTGACCATCGTGGCCATTTTGGGGAGTAAATAGCAGATGAAGGAGCCAGTGAATGGTGCCATCTCTGTTGCTATTTCAGCTGAAAAAATTCCTGAACCCACAACTGCTCAACTGAACCCCAACAAACATCATACAGCATCAGCCGGCCTCGTCTGCCCACCTGTGTTGCACAACTAAAGGTTTGCTTCTTGCGCCACTCTTGGAAAGCTAAACACCAAGAGGATGCAACGGCTCGTATGATCCTTCAGTCTGAAGACTGCACAGGAGACAGCGTAGGATGAGGTAAGACATCAAAGCTTGGGAGATAAGCCCACACTTAGAAAGTGTTCTAGAATGATTGGTCTCTTTCACCACTGAGATTTCTGAAACTTGAGTTTCATTTTAGACAAAAAGTTTTTTTTTTTTTTTTTAATCATCACATTTTTATTGGAAATCAGATATAGAGAGAGGAAGAAAGACAGAGGGAAAGATCTTCCATTCAATGATTCACTTCCCATGTGGCCGCAACGGCCGGAGCTGAGTCAAACTGAAGCCAGGAGTCTCCTCCAGGTCTCCCACGTGGGTGCAGGTTCCCAAGGCTTTGGGCTGTCCTCGATTGCCTTCCCAGGCCACAAGAGGGAGTTGGTTGGGAAGCGGGGCCACTGGGACTAGAACCGGCCTCCATATGGGATCCTAGTGCGGTCAAGGTGAGGACCTCATCCACTAGGCTACCGTGCCAGGCCCTGTTGTTTTTCAACCTGGCGGGAGTAATTTTCTCATGTTGGTGCAAATCAATGGGAAAAATTACTGTTTTTTACTCAAATTTACTTCTTAGTTAATTTTGCTGTGACATCTGGTCTGTAATGTATCTGTGGGAATAAAACAGCTGGATGGATGCATGCCAGAGGGCACCGAGCTCACCTACCGGAAGTAAATCCGACACAAAAGTTTTCCTTCGCACTTTCCTTTTATGGGGAACTTCTTCCATTTCGTCATCTTCCACGCACTCGCCTCCGTTGGCTCTCTCCGCGAGCTCCTCGGTCTCTGCAGCTGCTTTCAACCTCTGCGTTTCAGCCTCCTTCATGCGAATGACGGTTTCCCCGAAATCCAGGTCCAACACTTGAGACAAGGTCTTCAGGATGGCATTTATGATTTCCGCCTGACTCTTGGATGGAATGATGTCCTTCAGGTTCCACACTGTGCCTGGAAAAGCAGGGAGCAGAAGGACAGAGGACCTGCCTGTGAAATCCAAATTACACACAACTGCCACAAAACTGGTTCTTGGGGCTCAGAGGCAGGTTAGGAGACCTCGGCCGTACTGCCTTCGTTCAGTTTTTTTAAAGACTTATACTATTTTTATTGAAAAGTCAGATATACAGAGAGGAAGATCTTCCATCTGTTGATTAATTCCCCAAGTGACAGTAATGGCCAGAGCTGAGCCAGTCCGAAGCCAGGAGCCCAGAGCCTCTTCTGAGTCTCCCACACAGGTACAGGGTCATAAGGCTTTGGACTATCCTCAGCTGTTTTCCCAGGCCACAAGCAGGGAGCTGGATGGGAAGTGGAGCCGCTGGGACAAGAACCAGCACCCATATGGATCCCGGCATGTGCAAGGTGAAGACTTTAGCCACTAGGCTACAGTGCTGGGCCCCCTTCGTTCATCTTTTTAATCCTGAAAAAAACATTACACAGAGGTAGTGTTCCTTGTTGTGCCCTTTACAATCATCTGTTTCTCAGATGTATACCTATTGGCCAATCACAAGAACAGACTGAGTTTCTTTCAAAAGGACCAAGTGGGTAGCTTCACCTCCCTTCCTCTTAACCCAAGCTGTTCTCCTTGGCAGCCTCTTATATTCCAGGAACGAGAAGGAATGTCCTCAAATTCCAAAGTCTCAAGTACAAGTTAGAGCACAGGTCGTGGTTTCTTATCAAAACAGAACAGGAGCTACTGTTACACAGTCACCCCGTGCGTGTGTCCCTGTAACAGTAACTCAGAGCAGGGACTGGACCGGGATGACAGGTGTGTCTAAAGCAGCACCACTCAGAAATGCCAGAAGGCAGTGTGCCAAGGAACCAACCAAGGGAGAACAAAGTGTCACACACACATAAAAATGAAATCTTCTCTAGGAAAAAGGAAGTTTTGACATTCGCTATCTCCTGGATGAACTCTGTGACCCTACGTTAAGTGATATCAGCCAGTCACAACAAGGCACATACTGTTTGATTCCATTTAAATAGGACACCAAAAGCACTCAAATTCCTATAGAGAATTCACCAGTGGTTGTCAGGGGCTGGATTGTTGAAGAGCTATAGTTTGTTTTGTAACAAGAAAAAATTTTGAAGATTTGCTGCAGGATGTGTGTGTTGTGGACTTTACACCATTTAACTACACACTCAGAACTGAGGGATTCCATGTGTATTTCACCACAGTTGAAAGCAAAAATTGGGGCTAGTGTTAGGGTACAGCAGGCTCTGCTGCCATCTGCTACACCAGCATCCCGTACTGGATTGCTGGTTCAAGTCCCAGTTCCTCTGCTTCTGCTGGATCGGCTCCCTGCTGCTGTGTCTGGGAAGGCAGTGGAAGATGGCCTAAACCCCTTGGTTTTGGCAATCATGAAGAACCTCTCCCCTTCTCCTCTCCCTCCCCGTTGCTCTGCCTTTCGAATAAATGTATCTTTAAAAAGTGTGGGTGCTCAGGAGGGTCAGGATTGTGACCTACTATTAAAGCCACTGCCTGCAGCACTAGCATCCTACACGGGTACCAGTTCACGCTCCGGCTGCTCCACCCTCACCCAGCTACTGCTAACAGCCTGGGAAAAGCAGTGGCGGACAGTCCACGTGTTACGCTCCTGCCATCCACCCAGGAAACCAGGGTGAAGTTTCAGGCTTTGGTCTAGCTCTCGCTGTTGCAGCCACCTGGGGAATGAGATCTCTGTCTCTCTGCAACTTTCAAATATTTTAACAAAAGATTTATTTATTGTTATTAAAAAGTCAGATTTGCAGAGAGATGGAGAGACAGAGAAAGATCTTTCATCTGCTGGTTCACTCCCCAAGTGGACACAATGGCCAGAGCTGAACTTATCTGAATGCAGTAGCCAGGAGCTTCTTCCAGGTCTCCCAAGTGGGTGCAGGGATCCCCTTAGGCCATCCTCTGCCACGTTCCCAGGTCAGAGGCAGGGAGCTCAAAGGGAAATGGAGCAGCCAGCAAATGAAAAGTGCCCATATGGGATCCCAGCACATGTAAGGTGAGGACTTTAGTCACTAGGCCACCATGCTGGGCCTTAAATAAATAAATCTTAAAAATGGAATTGAAGTAAAAATATCAGCATTAAAATATTTGCAGCCTGGACATGGTATTGTGTGGGTTTCAAGCTAAGCCTCCCATATGGGAGCTGATTCTAGTCCTGTCTGCTCTAATTCCAATCCAGCTCCATGCTAACGGCCTTGGGAATAAGCAGAAACTGCCCCAAATCCTGGAGTTCCTGCACCCACATGAGACGCCTGGAAGAAGCTCCTGGCTCCCCGCTTGGGAGCAGCCCAGATCTGACCATTGCGGCCGTTTGGGAAGTGAATTGGGACAGAAGATCTCTTTCTCTGTCTCTTCTCTCTGTAATTTTACCTTCCAAATAAAAATAAACAAGTATTTGAAAAAAATTTAAGACCTTTCCAAATAGGTTCCCTCTGTAAGGTAAAGACAAAAATATGCAGTGTATAAAGCCAGACATTTCCCATCTCTGGGCTGAGATGCTTGAGGAGCAGCGTTTAGGCAAGCAGCTCACAATGAAACACACAGCTGGGTCTCCCATGCCCTCACTGAATTTCTGAACTCACTAGTTTATAATAGGGGATCCGGATCCCAGCACTTTTTGAGGTACCAGTAGCTTGTGAAATTGAAAACAGCTCTATTCCGATAGGTTTCGTAGCTATGGACAGCTGCTGGGATTAAGGGTCTCCACTTCATTAGCCTAGGAAGCGCTGCTGCGTGTGGTCAGAGAGAGGAGTGACTAAACTCTGTTCCCTACATCTGTCGCAAGTCACTACATCAAGTGGCTGAATTTTACCTGTGACTAATGCCTTTAACAGAAGGTATTCCATGGAATTGACGGGGGAAATCATTATAGATTCCAGCACGTGCAACGCCATGGCACGGAGAGACTGCAGCAGCTCTGGGTTATCTTCAGTCACTGTCTGCAAACAATACGCTGCAAGACAAAAGCCAAACACTCAGAAACGAACGGATTCTGCTGGCTCACTTACATCAGCAGAGCTTATCAAAACAACCACCACTTCACATGTCGCTTTGGTAGCACTTACAGCTTTACCTCCAAAACGATGCAAGCAAATGAGACTTCCCCAAAACTTCTGTCTTTTTCAAAATTTTAATTCCTTACACAGCTGCACTTAATGTTGTGCTAGCTTAGAACTACAGGGAATATTTATAAAAGCTACCACAAATTGACACACTTTTTCTGGACCCACAGCAATCAGGAGTCCTTGGACTAAATAAAATCTCAGTTTTGCTGCCAATAACAAGCTCAAGGCTTGTGAAATTTCAGCTTCCTTTAAGTTAAATTCATCACGAGCATAAAAACTTCTGGTGACACAAAAGTCTTTCAAACTATCTTATATAAAAAAATGAAAAAATTAAACTACGGATAATATATTAATAGACATATGATTCAGTTAGCAGTAAAATCACTTCCCCTGCATAAAAACAAGACAATGGGTTTTAATCTGCGTATCAGAATTAGTTAACCAGAAGTATACAAACACTTAGGATTGCTTGAGAAATCTTACAAAAGAGACATCTAAAAACTCAAACCAGGGAGCAAGCCCAAAGCTGCTCTCCCGAGGTATTTTAATTCAAATATATTCATCTTTCCAGATCAAAACAGATCATGCTTATCTAAATCAGCCAAAACAGAAGCTACTGCAGTGAACTCATTTGGTTCTCATTTGGTAAGCAGATATACACACATACACACAAATGTGCTGCTGGCTTTTTTTTCATAAAGAGACTAACTACATTCGATTTCAGAAAAAGGCTAAGTCAGTTGCAATTGCTACCATAAAGACAACACAAGTTCAAAAAATGCTTTCTTACTACAAAAGAGGGATCTTATTAAATTCACTGAACTTAACCTTCAAAATAATAACACTTGTTTTAAAAAAATCATGAACCTAGTAGTTAAAAGCAGAAAAAATATTATTACACAGTGCAAAATGATTTCATATTGATCCATTTCAAAGGAGTTCATTAGAGGAAACAAAAAACTAGAAACAACCAAATCTATAAGACTACAAACATAAAAAATAGAATGCTTTTCTTTTAAAAACTGTAAATTATTTGCCCTAAAATTCTTACGGTAGTAAAAATTGCTCTAAAAAGCACCTATCAATTTCTTAAAAACTGCTGAACTGTTTTTAAAATCCCCATGTATTTGCACATGCAACCTTTCCCGACAAGAATGCATTCTGAGAAACCGATTTTTAAATTTTTTCCAGTGCTATTCATTCTACTGTTTTCTCCACTTTTAAACTGTTCTCCTAAAAGGCTCCACTGGAGCCAAGGAAAGCACTGGGAGGGGAAGGCCCCTCTGCCGTCGCAGAGGCAATGCTCGGTTAAGCAGGACAGCTGGACTCAGGCCCTTGGGAGGGCTAGAAGCATTTCCCACTGGTACTTCTGTGCTTTCACACAGAATTCTGCGGCTCTGTCGGCTCTCTGCACTCAGGGTCCCAGGGGCCCCGAAACCCAATGCAGACTAGCTCTGAGGGTCAAGGCAGCTCAGCTGTGGATCCTGGCTCTATATGACCCACGGGGATGGATGCAGGTCCAAATGAGATTTCACTCACTCTTCTTCTTCTCCCCAAAAGCTAAAGGTATCAGGTTTCTGCTAATGGATCCAGCACGGTAGACTAGTGCTTAAAGCCCTTGTCTTGCTTCCTCCAGGATCTCATATGGACACTGGTTTGTAACCTGGCTGCTCCATTTCCAGTTCCTGCTTGCAGGTTGGGAAAGCAGTCAAGCACAGCCCAAAGCCTTGGAACCCTGCACCTGTGAGAGACCCAGAAGCAGCTCCAGGCTCCTGACTTCGGATTGGCACAGTTGAGCTGAGCTGTTGCGGCTGCTTGAGGAGTGAATCAATGGACAGAAGATCTTCCTCTCTGTCTCTCCTCCTCTATGTTTATCTGATTTTCCAAAAAAAAAAAAAATTAATAAATCTTAAAAAAACAATAATTAAAAAAAAAGTTGCTGAAGTACATCTAGCTTCCAAATTAACTTTGGCTCAAAGGCCCAGAAGCTGTGAGCTAGTGTTCAAAAGGAAAGTCAAGAATTAATATAAGATTCCAAGAAATGGTAACAAACTGGAAACTAGGCACGTTATTACATTTCTCCCTCTAAAATTCTATCAGTGACGAAAACACTAATCAGACTGAAAAGAATTCAGAAAAACAGCACTCATTGGACACACACACACACAACAAGGAATAAAAATCACTCCTGTAGTATTAACAAACAGGGTATGGATAAAAATTTAAAAGACTTTTTTGATTAAGACTACACATACTTAATAAATCACTACTTTTTTCTTCACTTACCTACTGAGATAGCCAGGTCAACATTGGTGGAAAACCTACTTAAATACTTTAACACAATCTCCATACACCCTTCTTTGTTGAATATAGATACTGCTCTACTACTGCATTCACTAAATTGAAGGGGGGAAAAAAAAGTTTTACTATTCACATTGTTAACATTAAATCAACCACAGAAACCCATGACAAAAATCAACTAGGCTTTATAGAACCAAAGAGTTGGAGTCAAACACCCACCAAGTTCACAGATGAAGAAACTAACGCCCACTCATAGTCCCAGCACCTGCCGGTAGCTCACCTGCTCTAACTTGCATCACGGTGGGGCCTGGTCAGCCAACTGCACCACCACCTGAGCCTTCTCACAGGAGGTTAGAGGGAGAAGAGATCATACAACTCAACTAATTTAACTCCCCATTTTGCAGATGGATAGACCCAGTCCCCCGACAGTGAAGTGACACAGGGAAACCACACTGTCAGAGGCAGGAGGCCCAGCGCCCGTGGGCTCCCCGGATTCAGCCTGCTGATCTCCTCACTGTGCCATCACAGAACCTTAAAGTATGGACAAATGGGCTCCAGACTCATCACACCAAAAAATGCAAGGAAAAAATCAAACATTTTATTCATTTCTTCTTGACTGCAATTGTCATTTCGTAAGGAAGAATTTATAATCTGCAACAAAGAAATCACTATAATAATTCTTTCTGGAAACACACTATCTTTTAATAAGATTTGGAAAGTTATCAATGTTATTAATATCACACAAATTTAGGTTAAATAAAGCTAACTATAACAATTGCATTTGTATTTCCAGAGAAGGGTATTTCTCCCTTCATTTGACTCCTACCTATTGACACTAACAGCTAACAGATCTGACCAAATTAAACGTTATCTAAGGAAAAACATTTTCTGTAATCTGTCTAGTTGCTGCAGCATACTTTTGTGAAAATGACTTGAAGTATCAAGTATAAAACAAAAACATTAAGAATCAGGATAACTAAAAAAGCTCATAAGCATTCAAGAAAGAGAAACCGTCTTGGAAACATATTCAGACTCTTTTTTTAAAAAAAAGCTTTGTTTTTTAATTTCCAAAATTTGCAAATTTACCAATTAAATTACCTGGTGCACACATAGCACCAGCAGCTTACTCAAACCCCATTTCCCCACATCCAGTCTCGCTGGCACACGTGGTGGAAGGGAATTCACCAGCCTAAAGTGCAAGAACAGGTGGATCCAGACTGTGGGAGCGCACCTGTCAGGATCCAAGCGCATCCTCTGTCCTAGGAAGCATTTGTGCCTTCTGATCAGCAGTTACAATCACTGGCTGAAAAGAAGGGATTATAATGGAATTATGCTACGACCATGCGATATAAAATGGACTAGAAAAAAAAGTCAATCCCAGGTTACGTTTCCAGCTGTTCCCATTCTTAGCAGCAAGGGCCACTCCACCCTCACCACTGCTACCGTCAGGAACTGACAGCACCCTTCTTCCCACTAGGGCCAAACGACCTCATCTTAGGCACCCAATTCCTGCCCAGATGGTAACTGTCAGGAAAGGTGACAAGTACCAGCCAAGATTTTTGTCCTTGTCTCATTTCAGATGCCAGACTGTGGCAGCTACTGCGCTGGGGTCTGACAAGCACAGGAACACCCGCTGCCTGGGCTGAGTGCAGAGTGCAGCAGAGCCGTAAGAACAGGAGCTGTTCGTGGTAGGATCCCTCTTATTGTTGTCAATAACCAGAAAGAAGAGTTTTATTTAAAAAAAGAAAAAGATGTGTTGAAATTGAGGACACAGGCTTCTCAGGGGGTTTACAAACACCAGCCTCACTGCCCTACAGGAGCACCCCAGGGGGACAGAGGCAGCAGCAGCCAGGGTAGCGCTCGAACAGCAGGCTGTGCTCGGCGTCTTACCAGAGATTCCAAAGCACGTTCACAGCCTCATTGGCTATGTTCTCCACAGCGCTGCTCCTCTGATCTGTGTTCTCCTGCGGTGACATCTCATTTGAATCCAGTCCAGCACTGCACTGTAACCAAATAGAGTGATCAGCACCCTAGTTCACAAGAACAATTAAACATAGAGGCTAATGATACTGAGAGTCACAAAAATTAAGCATCAGAAATTATAGTGGTTAATAAGCCTATCAAATTTTCAGAAGCAGAACAATTCCCACAATCCCGAAACCTTTTGGCGAGAAAGAGACAAGAAGGCTTCCACAAGTCTCCATAGAAATTGGATATAAAGCAATTCACATTTTCCAGGATGGTACAAGATCAACACAAAATATTTCACCTAATGTAATAAGAGACAAATGCAAAGAAATATTATATAAGTGCTAAAATATAGTCTCTTGTAGGGCATGATCATAAACATTATATGTTGTCAGTGATTCCCTAATTTAATCTCCCTATACAAATACAAAACCGAGGCACAGGGCAGTTGCTGGTTGCTCAACGGTATGGCTTAGAATGAATGGAAGCTGAACTGCAAATACAGGCCTTGGGGCTGCGTGTCAGGGTCCGCTGCCACCCTGCAGTGCTGCCCTGCTGGGACATGCTGAAGGAGCCTAGGCAGCAGCGTTGCACATGCAAGGGGCCACTGACATTTCACTCTGCACAACTCCTGCTCGTAGGGGCTGTCCTGTGCATTGTAGGATGCTCCACGGTGTCCCTGGCCTCTACCCACGGCTTGCCAACAACAGCTCTCACCACCAAAGGCTGAACAACCAACCACATCTCAAGACATTGCCTAATGTCACCTGCGGGGCAGAGATCACTGTTTCAAAGGGACCAGGACTGATATTTCTCATCAAACCTCTATATGCTTGATAAGACCTATCAATCAATCAGGACAGAGTCAGGAGGCAGAGGGCACTTTGTAACCCTTGAACCACATCATGCCAAAAGCCTGGCAGGACAGCTGAGGTGACAAGTTCTTCAAGTTCTGAATGTCTGTGTCCAGCTTCACCATCTGTAACATCACAGGAATAATACCTGTCATGCAGCTTAAACTGAATAATCTGCAAGACTGAACAACAGTAACTACCACAACAATAACAATCAATGTGGAAAGATACTGTGAATCTGCTAGTGTGGAGCCAGAGCTATTCCCAATGCCACTGGGAGAGTCCCAGGAGCAGTTAATATGGAAATGAATAGCAGTTTAATGTGGAAATGAATAGCCAGGAAATTCCCTAGCCCACAGGTTTAGACAACAGATCAAAGAGAGGTGCTAACTACCCCAGGACAGGGGAAATAACAAACAAAACCAGGGGACTGTCTCTTGCTGTTGAAATCTAATGCCCTGGGGTCCAGCACCATGGCCTAGCGGCTAAAGTCCTCGCATTAAAGGCACCGGGATCCCACATGGGCATGATTCTAATCCTGGCAGCTTCACTTCCCATCCAGCTCCCTGCCTGTGGCCCGGGAAAGCAGTAGAGGACAGCTCAAAGCCTTGGGACTCTGCACCCACGTGGGAGACCCGGAAAGAGGTTCCTGGCTCCTGACTTTGGATCGGCATAGCACCGGCCGTTGTGGCCATTTGGGGAGTGAATCATTGGATGGAAGATCTTCCTCTCTGTCTCTCCTCTCTGTGTATTTGACTTTTCAATGAAATAAAAAAGGAAAAAAATCAAATGCCTCAACATCCCCGGCCCCAAGCCTACCTGACAACCTCTTTTTTTTTTTTTTTAATTTTATTTAAAAAAATTTTTGTTGGAAAGTCAGATATACAGAGAGAAGAAACTGAGAGGAAGATCTTGCATCCATTCATTCATGCCCCAACCAGCAGCAATGGCCAGAGCTGTGCTGATCTGAAGCCAGGAACCATGAGCCTCTTCCAGGTCTCCCGGGCAGATGCAGGATCCCCAGCTTTGGGGCCGACTGTTTTCCCAGGTCACAAGCAGGAAGCTGGATGGGAAGCAGGGCTGCCAAGAGCAGAACTAGCATCCACATGGGATCCCAGCACATGCAAGGTGAGGATTTTAGCCGCAAGGCTACCATGTTAGGCCCGACAACCTCCTTTTGAGTCTGATGTTGGCAATAAACTTTGGTTGACCATCATGGTGGTCCACACGTGTTATTACAGGGTCTGTGCACAAAGTGCATCAACGCAGGACAGCGCACAAACCAATAAATATTAGTAGCTTCTGTTGTATGAAGGAAGCCTAAGAGAGTCTATAGCTTTAGGAAGGTCTTTTCTAACACCTATAGAGAGGATTAACAAGGAGAGTACCTCATTGAGCCCAAGATATGAAATTCCGTGGGGTGGGCACCAAGGCTCCCTTGGCTAATCCTCTATTCAGTGGCTCAGCATCCCATAAAGGTGCCTGTTTGTGTCCCAACTGCTCCACTTCCACGTCCAACTCCTTGCTTAGGGCCAGGGAAGCAGCAGATGGCGGATCAAGCCCTTAGGGCAGTGCACCTGTGTGGAAGACCCAGAAGCTCCTGGCTCCTACCTTTGGACCAGCCCAGTCCTGATCTTTGTTAACCTGCTTTTCAAATAAAGATAGAAATCTTAAAAAAAAATAAAATAAAAAAGATAAAATGAAATTCTCATAGTATACTTTAAGGGAATAAAGTTATGCCAGTGTTTTGCTGTTGCTGCTTTAAAGCTATCCCAGTCTGCATTTTAAGTGTTATATTGAATAACTAATTACATTTTTTATTTTTAAAAATCTTTATCTTTTAATGCATTTAAAATGTTTAAAAATTTACTTTTATTATTATTATTATTATCATTTTTTAAAGATTTTATTTATTTTTATCACAAAGTCAGATATACAGAGAAGAGAAACAGAGAGGAAGATCTTCCATCCGATGATTCACTCCCCAAGTGACTGCAACAGTCGGTGCTATGCTGATCTGAAGCCAGGAGCCAGGAACTTCTACCAGGTCTCCCACATGGGTGCAGAGTCCCAAGCCTTTGGGCTGTCCTCCACTGCTTTCCCAGGCCACAGGCAGGGAGCTGGATGGGAGGTGGAGCTGCCAGCATTAGAACTAGCGCCCATATGGGATCCCAGCACGTTCAAGGCAAGGACTTTAGGTGCTAGGCCATGGTGCTGGGCCCCTTATCATTACTTTATGATACAGTTACATAGGTCCTAGGATTACCCCTCCCCAAGTCCCCTTCTGCCCCACTGAGTTCCCCTATATTATTACTAAAGTATAGTTCTTCATACACAGTCATATGCCCATCGTTGCAGGCATGGACAATGGCAGAGAGTCCAGCATCCTATTGTCAAGATACAGTGAACAGTTTCATTGAGAGTCCATCTTTGATCTGGAAGTAGAGATGCATGCTGTATCCTCACACCTGGGTATGATAATCTCCACCACAGTTACTACACATCCCCTTAAATGAAAAGCCACAAGACAAAATCAACAACAGGAAGAAAAACAGAAGATGCTACTGTATGATCTATGAGTCAGTGAAGAATTTGAGAAAGTGTTTTGAAGAGATGAAACAAACAAAACACATCAGAACTGATGAGACAGTTTCTGCTGGTCTTTGTTGGTGAGATGTGTCTCCTGTAGGCAACAAATAAATGGGTTTTGTTTTTTTAATCCAGTCTACTAATCTATGATGTTTGATTGATGAGTTTAATCCATTTACATTCAGGGTTAATGTGAGTGGGTGGTTAATAGGGTCTCCTGTCATTTTAGGAATGGGTTGCTCATTGATTTAATCTTCTGTTATCTTAATAGGATGTTCACATTTGCCTTTGGTTTTGGTGGGTGCTATTCCTCTTCTCTGTCAAGGGAACATTTTTAAGTATTCTCTATAGGTTTGGAGGAGGAATATTCTTTTAACTTTACTGTGGAAGAACTTTCTTTTATTTTCAAAGACAAAGGAAAGTTTTGCAGGTACATTATCCTGGATAAACAATTTTTTGTTTTCAGTATCTGGAATAAGTCACTCCATTCTATTCAGGAAACTGTAGAGTTTCCTGTGAGTGGTCTCCTGTGAGCTTAACTGGCATCCCTTTATATGTCAATTGATTTTTTTCACGTGCACATTTCAGGATCTTTTCCTTATGTTTGATTGAAGAGAGCTTGATTATCACGTGTCTTGTGAATATCGCCTTTGGTCAACCCTGTTGGGAGTTCTGTACCCCTCCTAGATGTTGTTTCCCAATTCTTTCTCTAGATTAGGGAAATTTTCCCTTAATATTTCATTAAATACATTTTAAACCCAGCTTCTCTTTCTGTGGTACCTACTGGGACCACAATAACGCTCTGTATTTGGCCTTTTAATAGTGTGTTTTAATTCTTGAATACTTTTCTTTTGGCTTAACCCAGCTCTACTTCCAGCTTTTGGTTTGTTTTCCCCTGGTAACAGGAAATATCTTCTAATTCTGAGATTCTTTCTTCTGCTTGCTTCATTCTATTTTGAAGACTCTCCACTGTACTTTTAATTTGCTCTACTGTATTCTTAATTTCTAATGCATCAGCTTTCATTTGATTCATTTCCAGTGTGACATGTTCCTTAAATTTCCTGAATGCCTGCTTTATGTGCTTCTTGTTGTTGATAACAAGCTGTACAACAAATATTTTGCATTCTGTATTCCCCATTTTCTTGATGCATTCTTCAGTTAACTCTGAGGTTGGCAAAGGTCTTTGCTCCTTTGCAGGGGAGTTTTCAATAATATTCACTGTGCCTCTGTCTCTTCTTTTGGTCTTGATCACGGTACTTTTTGTTATCAGAATCTTTTCCTTGAGGCAAGTTTCTAATCTCTGTCACCCACAGGTTTACAATTAGTTATTGCAGTTGGTACATGATTATTTGTTTGCAGTCACTTGTGTCACTCCCTCCAGTGAGTTCCAGTCTGGGTTCTTGCGTTAGACTTCCACCATGCTCCGTAGCCCCAGCTCCTGCCTCACCACTCTCCACCCCCTGTGATACCATGCTGAGGCTGCACCGTTGTCTGTACAAACTTTCTCCTTCTTCTGGTTTGAGCAGATCCCAGGATTTTAGGGAGACACCAGGTGTCCTATATAGCTAGGTTGTTGTTGGCGCTGATCTTGTCAGAACCTGTTGGCAGTTAGGCCTGAGGGTCACATGGAGCTATATTGACATGTAAGACACCACAGTTTGTATTATTTTCACTGTGGGACCAGTGCAATATACTGAACTGAGTTTGCTCCAAGCTCAGCGCATGCACAGCTCACTGTTGTCCCTGCAGTCTTGAATCTTTTGCCACACTGTACAAAATGGCACCTGATGTGCCACTACTGGAGTTCTTGATCTGCTGGACATCAGGTCTGAGGGCTACCCAGACCTGTCTTGGATGGAACCTGTAGGATGCCACGTTGTTGCAGTTCACTAAGCCAGAAATGAGTTCAATCTCAGCTCAGTGTTCCATAGCCCTTGCCTCCTTAAACAAAGTGGTGCCCAACTCAGCTCTAGGGGGCAGACTGAGCCATGAAATCCACTCCTTTTCCACACTGCCCAACTGGGAACTGCTGCTTTGCCTCTGCTCCTGGTCAAATCAGACAGACCAGCAGACAGGCAGTTGTTTTTCTAGGTTCACCTCCTGGGCTCCCGGTAAAAGTCCCTTTCCATGTTATTGCTGGTGGATTTCCGGCTGCTGGTGCAACTCAGATGGCCACTTGTTGAATGCAACAGCATACCGTTGTGTTCGTTGCTTTCCTGTGTCTGTCAGTCTCCAGGTACCCCTCTGCTGTTGTTCTGTCCTCTCCTATTTCCTGCAATGTGCCCTTTCCACTTCACACCGGATCATATTTCTCCGTTTGTTTAAACATGACCATAATCTAATTTTAACATCTATTTGTATTTGAGAAGCACAGACAGTCTGAGAGAAAGAGCTCTCCATCCACTGGTTCACTCCTCAAATGCTAGTGATGGGTGAGGCTAGGACAGGGCTGGAGGCAGGACCTCGATTCTCCCAAGTGGATGGCTGGAACCAAATTACCAGAGCTGTCATCCCTTCCTCCCACAGTCCGCGTAAGCAGGAAGGTGGAATCATAAGCTGGGAACAGGAATCAAACTCGGGTACTCTGATGTGGGGGGGTCCATCTTAACCACGCAAATAAATGCAACCCACCCCCCAGCCCACATACCTCTTTAAGAAGCGCAACCAGAGGAGTCATGACATCCTTAGTAACCATGTCATCGCAAACTTCAAAACCTCCACAGGCACTCAGATTTCTACACAAGTTGAAAACATGTTTGATGTTCAGTTACATGTCACAAAACTCCAGAAAGCTCTCAGTACTTGAGGTTTGCCATATCAGAGGTCTGCTCTCAGTACCTGAGGTTTGCCAGGGGTATCACCTGTTACTTCTTTCATATGCTACAGAACAAGTCTCCAGATTCCCATCTGCTCTGATCCTTCTACAAGATGTGAACAAATGACCGTGTTAAGCAACAACTTAGTTCTGAGGTCTAAGTACACTGAAATGTGGCCACACGGGAGGGAGCGGAGAGCAGTCGGTTCCCACTTCACGTGGATGAACCACAGTCCCAATCAGGGGATCCTCCTTGGAATCCACGCTGGGAGGCCAGCAAGGTGAGGCTACTGAAGCAGCCCTGGGTAAACAGGACGGAGAAGATGCTGCTTGCCTTGTGCGGGTTCAGCCCCGTGTCAGGCAGCAAGAAAAGGGGTGTGAAGTCAAGATGTGCCCAGAAGCTTCCAGGAGCTCCCTGTCTGCATGTGTCTTGAGGAGGCGGAGCGTTGGGGGGAACACACTGCTTCCTCACGATTCCTCTGTCCTAGCTCACCTCCTGTCACTCCCAGGTTTGCCTTCCTGGAGCCCCCCACCACTCACCATCTCACAGCATCCTCTGTACCAGCTGTGCCACACACACTTCTGCAATTACTTGGTTAACGACCATCTTCCTCAATCCCCTGTGAAACTCTGCCTCAAGCCCAGTGCCAGCACACAGGAGGCACTCAACATAAACCTTAAGTCAGTAGGGCTACACTTCAATACACACGCTAACTTTTCCTCTTGCCCCCTCTACAGTCTATTCTCTGCAGAAGTAGAACGGTTTCTGGGAAAGGAAACCCCTTACTTAAGAGTAAGCCCTACCTGTATCAGGTCCATCTCCCCAGCTTCAGCACAGCCCTTTGCTGTCTCATTACTCCGCGGGGAATCCTATGGTTCTTCTTCTCCCATATCCAGCTGGCCCATCTTGCAAGTCTCCATTCACAGCTGCCATCCACAGAGCGCCCTGCTCAGGCCTCCCACCCTGCTAACTCATTTAGTGTGCTCACTGCATAAATACCGTGTTTTACTTTCTTCCAATTCTTTCTCCTATCACCAGGGCTGTGCTGATTCAAGGTTCTACCTGCTCCAAAGCCCCCCTGCATCATCTACAATTCCTGCCAAACCGGCTGGAAGCGTTCTTCCAACCCATGAAAGGTTCTTGCAGAGCATCCAAAAGTGTGCCAGGTGCTGGCTGCACCTGAAACACCTAGAGGGACTGCGTGTAGCCCGAGGGTCCCCGGGGTCGGTCTTGCTCCTCCGATTGCAAACGTGGGCCCCCTCCCAACCCCGAAGAGCACCCGCCCTCCCGGCTCACCTCAGCGCGCCGGCCGCCGTCTCCCTCACCGCCAGGCTGGGGTCCAGCAGCAGCGGCCCGAGCCGACGCACGGCGTCCCTGCGCGCCAGGCCCGGCAGCACCGGCCGCTGCTGCACCAGGCGGGCCAGGCCCGCGCACGCGCACTCGCGGACGTCAGCGCTCGGGTGCTGGAGCTGCGGGATGAGGGAGCGGTTAGGGGGCTGGGTGCGCATGCGCCCCGCGGAGCGGAACGGCCTCCCCCCGGCCCCCGGCGCCTGGCGGGACCCCCGCCTCACCTTCTCCAGCAGCTCGGCCGCCGGCCCGTCGTCCTCCTCGTCGGCAGTCCCGTTGGCCGCTTCTGCAGCCGCTTGGGCCTCACAGTCTCCGGTGGGGGAGAACTGAGGTCGCTTGAAGCGCTTGGTCCGGCTCTTGCCCATGGCGATGTGCGCTGCGGGGACGGCCTGAAGGAGGACCGGAGCGGGCGGCCACCGACAGAGACGCCAGCGTCTCCACTCAGCTGAGCCGCCCGGCCGCTCGCATACACATGGTGAGGCAGCGCGCATGCGCACCGCGCTGGCGGCCTGCGAGAGGGGGAGCCGCGGGAAACGCGCAGGCGTGGAAGGGCGTGTGGGCGAGGCCAGCCGCGGCCGTGGGCGGGGTAAGCCGCCGTCGCGGGCGGGGCCAGCCGCACTCGTGGAAGGGCCAGCCGCGGCCGTGGGCGGGGCCAGCCGCGCCGTGGGGCTGGTTCTGTGGGGAAGCCTCGCGGTGGCTTGCAGTGAGGACCCTTCTTGAGTGCTTGGGTTTCAGCGTCCTCTGTGTAGGAGGCGACCCTACCCTGAAGGAAGTACCACTCACCCAGGGGTGTAGTTCACTTGGGGAAGCTGGGGTGTATCAAGGACCAACTACAGGTACGGGGTGGGGTGCGGACGCCACTTGGCCGCATTCTGTATCAGAATGGCGTACCAGACCAGCTAACACCCTGGGAGGCAGCAGGTGACGGCTCAAGTACTTGGATCCTTGCCACCCAACGTAGGAGACCCAGATGGAGTTCCTGGCCTCGGCCCAGGCCAGCTCTGGCTCAGACATTTGGGGAGTGAACAAGGAGATAGGAGATATCTATCTCTCTCCCTCTCTGTCTCTCTCTTTGGGTCTCGCTCTCCCCTTCTCCCTCTCTCTGCCCCTCCCTCCTTCTTTTTACCCTTTTCAAATGAACAACACAGCTTTTCTTTTTCCTCTTTCTACCCTTTATTTAGTCCTCAAAGTTGCTCAGTGGGCGTGAATCACTTTTGTCCCAGGAAGACATATTCAACCCCCTGACCCCGCACGCTTTTGCTGTACAAGTTCCTTTCCCCAAGGTCCTGTTATTCTTGGAGGCAGGCTCCCCGTACTCTCAGGAGTCCCTGGGAATGGTATACTCGAAGACATGTGAATGGTGTTGAAGAACCTAGGGCGTGTTCTGCCTTTTGTGAGTCTGCCTTAATGGCTTGAACTCCAGGCCTGACACCTGGCAGGCCACCTGGCAGGTCATGTAGGCAGACCACTCCTCAGGAAGGAGGTACCTGCTGTTTGATAAGACCCACCGCCCTATAGCTCATCGATTTGTACCTTTTGAAAGTTGCTTGTTTCAAATCCACCAATAGAAGGCTGCTAAATCATGACTGTATAATTAATAGCCTGAGATGTATAGAACTGGGGGGCTTGGGCTCTCCTGCTTGTTCTGGCTCGCCCTTTTTGTCCTCCCTGCGGATCCTGCAGCATCCTTGGCTGCGGCTGCCCCGCCCCCCGCCCAGCTGGCTGGGAGACCTAGGTTAACCTGAATAAACCACCTTTATGCCTTAGTACTGGCTTCAGACTTGATGATTATCTGGGGATTTTAAAATGCGGCACAACAGCGTCACGTGCAGACCTGGTGAAGGAGTCAGAGATATTTACCCAAATTTAGAATTCCTGGGATAAGACAATCTCTCCTCACATACAAAGAGGGGCTTCAAAAACTTCCAACTCACAGACAAATGGCTTCATGTTTCAACAACTAGTTTGCTGTACTAGTAGCTTACCCATACCCTGCCTCCCAGACACACACTGCAATGGCCAGAGCTGAGCTGATCTGAAGCCAGGAGCCAGGAACTTTTTCCAGGTTTCCCTATTTGGGGTACAGGGTCCCAAGACTTTGGGCTATCCTTGGCTGCTTTCCCAGGCCACAAGCAGGGAGCTGAATGGGAAGTGGAGCAGCCAGAACATGAACCAGTGCCCACATGGGATCCTGGACAAGACGAGGATTTGGCCACTAAGCCATCGCGCCAGGCCCCATGATCATTATTTTAAACATTATTTTTTTTGTTTGTTTGACAGGCAGAGTTACTTGGGGAGAGAAGAGACGCCTTCATCCACTGTTTGCTCCCCACATGGCTGCAACGACCAGGCTGGGCCAAGCTGAAACCAAGGTTCGTGTGTTTCTCACATAGGTGTGGGGACCCAAGCATTGGGGCCATCCTGTGCTGCTTTCCTAAGTGCATTAACAAGGGGAGCTGGATCAGAAGTAGTATAGCAGGGACTGGAACCAGCACCCATATGGGATTTTTTTTCTTTGAATCTGCTCATCTGGCTCCTGATCCCCGCCCCTCCTCTAAAAGATGTCTTCTCCTTGACCACTTGTCCTCAGGTGTCCCCAGGTCTGCCCTGCCCATTCCCCATAACAGAGCCCCTGGCGTGATCCTTCAAAAATATGCTTTGACTCTGTTGCCTAAAAACCTTTCAGTGTCTTCCCTTAGGACAGAGATCAAACCTCAGCTGGAGGTGGGGGTGTGGCTGGGCGGTTGCAAAGCTTGGGATGTCTTTGTCTCCTGGAAGCCTGGGTTGGAGTGCCTCCTAAGGTGCAGGTGAGGGCTCAAGGGGTGGAGTTTCTGGCTTCTGGGCTTCAGCCTTGCCTGTTGCAGGCTCTTGTGGGTAAGGCGGCTTGATCTGCACCTCTCCCCTGCCCATCTCATTTCACCCCTCAGCTGTTCTCCATGGGACCTCAAAGCTTTGCCCAGGCTAAGCTCCCACTCAGAACCCTAGGAAATATGTCACTTCCACATAGTGCGTTCCTTGCAGTCAGGGACAGGTCTCCTTTGAGACAGCATGTGCTGTATTCCTTGGTCTTAAATCACAACTCAGAATTGCAACTGTAAGTTTCAATTTCATGTGTATAGCTATAAAATTATACCCCTGGAGCTGGCATAGTGGCAAAGTAGGCTAAGCCTCCGCCATCCCATATGGTTGCCAGTTCACGTACTGGCTATTATACTGCCCATGGGAGACTAGGGTGAAGCTATTGGCTCCTGGCTTTGGTCTCACCCAGGTCTGATCATTGTGGCTATTTGGGGAGTGAACTGTCGCTGTCCCGCAGCGACGGACTTGGTGCACGGAGCCGATAATAACACGCGTGGACCCTGACTGATGGTCAGAGCCGAAGTTTATTAGGGGCATCAGACTTTATACACTGAGAGTCCGTACTGTTTCCCTCTCTTGATTGGAATTCCTTTTGTTTTGTATATCCCACCAGGTGTTCTCATTTACATGCTGTTTATACCAAAGGTAGCCATTTGGTTGTTGTCATGCAAATACTGTCCAATGAACTGCAAACCTGTGCTCGCTGACCTTCCAGGCTCACAGTGTCCTCCTACAGTGAACCAACAGACTAAAGATTTCTCTCTCTTTGCCTCTTCCTCTCTGTAACTCTGCCTTTCAATGAAGTCAACGAATCAGACCTCGTGCATATATGACACTTTCCTCTCAATTTTGCTCTGAACCTAAAACTGCTCTGGAAAATGGACTGTTTTATGAAAACTCTGGTGCCATTACTGCTTGTTCTCCCACACCCCCTCTACCACTGTGCCCCACATTCAGGCCTTGGCTCTGGCGTCCTGCCACCGCACTCTGAGGCAGCATGTGATGGATGGCCCAAGTGACTGAGCCCCCAAATCCTAACTCAGCCTTATGCATCGTGTTTAGGGGGTGAACCAGAAGATGGGAGCTATCTCTCTCCCTCCCTAGCTCTCAAATAAAAATGTATTTAAAAGGAACAACAAATCTAATCTCTAATGATGGGAGGAGATTGGTAGCTGTGCAGGCCCAGTGGCCAGGATGAGGGGCTTGACCGAAGAACCTTCTGGAGTGATGGAATGTTGTGTAGCTTGCTTGTATGACTGCTGCCTGGACATTGCATTTCCTAAAATGTTTCAAACTTTATAGTCACAAGAGGTGAATTAGCTTTATGCAAATTAATCTTGATAAAGCTGATTTTAAAAAAAGTTTTTACTGGAAAGTCAGATTTACAGAGGACATACAATAAGATCTTTTGTCCGCTGGTTCACTCCCCAAGAGGTTGCAATGACTGGAGCTGAGCTGATCTGAAGCCAGAAGCCAAGAGCTTCTTCTGGGTCTCCCACACAGATGCAGGGTCCCAAGGCTTGGAGCCATCTTTGAGCGCTTTCCCAGGCAATAAGCAGGGAGCTGGATGGGAAGTGGGGTCGCTGGGATACAAACTGGCGTCCACATGAGTTCCCAGCACCTGCAAGGGGAGGATTTAGCCACTGAGCCATCATGCCGGGCACAAAGCTTAATATTCTTTTAAATATCCCGCAGAACTTACCCAGGTTTTAGTCAGTTCCTCTGCCTATCCCAGGCCCTGCAATCATCCCCATGTGAGAGAGGAGGCACCCAGAGCACACAGCAGTGAAGCTCCTTGCCCAAGAGCACAAGATTTGCCAACGACAGGAATTAATCTCAGAGCCCAACTGCAGTGTGGCTTGTTATCACCGCAATATACTGCCTCTAACTCCTCACAGCCGGCAGATGGAGGAAATCAGTCAGACAAAGGGAAAGACGCAGGAAGGAACCCGTGTCAGCAGAGGAAGCCTGGCTTTCTCTGTTTCTCCCCTTGCAGAATAAACTACTCCCTCCAGAGAGTGGGTTTGGGCATCGTGGTTAACATGCTCTGGGTCTACACCGGAAAGTTCAGGTAATTCTGGACTCAGGCTAGCTCTCCGCTTCAGCTTCCTGCTTGTGCAGACCCTAAGAAGCTGTGGCGATGGCTCATGTAACTGGGTGCCTGCCACCCACTTGGGACAGCTGGCCTCAGTGTCCAGCACCTGGCTGCAGCCCAGCCCACCATCATCCTGGCCACTGCGGCATCTGGCAGGTAAACCAGAGCGTGGACTTGTCTCTCTGCCTCTTGGATAAACAAACTATCTAGCTTATACAGAACAACCTCACTGAAAAGTAGTAGATCACATGCATACACAATTTCAAGAGTTGGGACTGGTGCAATAGCCTAGTGCCTAAATCTTTGCCTTGCCTCTGCTGGGATTCCTCATGAGCTGTCCTAGCTGTCTCACTTCTATCCAGCTCTCTGCTTGTTGCCTGGAAAGCCAGTAGAGGATGATCCAAAGCCTTGAGACTCTGCACCCACATGGGAGACGTGGAGGAGGCTCCTGGCTTTGGATCGGCTTAGCTTCCACCGTTGCAGCCACTTGGGAAGTGAACCAGCAGATAGAAGACCTTTCTCTCTGTCTCTACTTTACAAATCTGCCTTTCCAATGGAAATGAATAAATCTTTTAGATTTTTTTTTTGAAAAGTCTTAAAAACAAAGCAGCACCATTCCCTGCCTCTATACCCTGCAGCTCTCTCTAGGAAGTGAATACACTCAAACCCATCTACCTATTTCTCCTAGCACCCCTGTGTTCCTGAATGATAACCTAGCCATTTTTTTTTTTTTTGTTTTCAGATTTATTAAGTACTTAAGAGGGAGAGACAAAGAGAGATCTTCCATCCACTGGCGTGCTCCCCAAGTGGACACTATAGCCAGGGCTGAGCCAGGAACTTCATCTGGGTTTGCATCATAACAGGGGCCCAGGCATCTGGGCATCTTGCACTGCTTTTCCCACTCCACTGGGGACACTAGCAGCCAGGACAGGCTAGCACCTTTACACACTATGCCATAGTGCTGGCCCTAATAAACTACCACTTTAGCTCGCTTCTGTCATGTAAGCTTCTGCTCTACTGGCCTGGGAAGGACTTAGTAATTCCCTCTCCTGCACTTCTCTTTCATCTAACAAAATAGTTCCAGAGATCTTGATTAAATCAATACTCATCTTCTCAATTAGTAGGACAATGCAAATATTGCTCACTGTGGAACTAGGAAGTCTGTTCAACCAGAGGTTCTTTCTTGCACAGCCTTTCATTATTTCTTTGGAGTTAATTTTGGCCCTTTTTGGGAGACCAGGAAACTCCTGGCTCACTTGGCGCAGGTCTGGTCCTTGCAGTCATTTGGGGAGTGAACAAGTGGATGGAAGATCTCTATCCCTTTCTGTAACCCTTTCAAATAAATAAAGTAAAAATTTGTATGTTTGATAAGATTGAGGTGCAAATGGCCCTTAACTGTTATCCTGGTTCTCTATCAATCTTGTTTTTTCAAACGTCCAACCCAGATGAAGTGTCAAGCTCCTGCCTTGCCCGGTTGCATGTGTTATAGCCATTTGGGAGTGAACCACAGGGCAGACAACCTGTCTCTTCTCCTCTAATTTTGCCTTTTAAGTAAAGGGGCCAGCACAGTGGCACAGCTGGCTGGTCCTCTGCCCTGTGGCACTTCTGCCCTGTGGCACTGGCATCCCACTTGAGCTCTGGTTTGTGCCTCAGCTGTTTGTAGCCCGGGCTCTTGGGACCCTGTACTGCATAGGAGGCTCAAAGGAAGCTCCTGGCTCCTGGCTCTGGGTTAGCTCTGGCAGTTGTTGCCATTTGGGGAATGAACCAGTGGTTGGAAGGCCTTCTTTTTCTGTAAAATCTGTCTTTCAAATAAAAATAAATCTTCAAATACATAAAATTTCAATTTTGGAAAATGGAACTAAGATTTTTTTAATCTATGCATATGAGGAATGTCCAAAAAATATGCTGGATATGCATACGGTCCAGTGATTTTGTACCAAAACAGATTTGTTTTTATCTGAAAGGCAGTGAGAGAAAGTGGGGTCTTCTACCTGCTGGTTCAGCCCCCTAAATGCTCACAGTGGCAAGGGCTGGATGAGACCACAAGCCATGAGCTCCTGCATCTCCAACATGGATGCAGGGTCCAAACACGTGGGCTATCTTCTGCTGCTTGCCCAGGTTTTTTGGGTTGGATAGGAAGTGGAGCAGCTGAGACTTGAACCAGCATCCATATGGGATGCCACCATTGCATGACATGACTTTCCCAGCTATGCCACAACACTAGTCCCAAAATAAACATACAATTTCATTTTCCCACAACTTAAACATACATACATATATATATACATATATATATTCTTACATGTGTCTATTTGAAAGGCAGAATAAGAGCAGAAGAGAGCTATCTTAAGTCTGTCTGTTGAGTCCTTTAATGCCTACAACAGAGATAGTCTTAAGCCAAAGCCAAGGACTTATTCCAGGTCTCCCATTGGGTAGCATGGGTCCAAGTTCTTGAGCCTTCAATTACAGCCTCAGGATGCCTAAGCACAAGGCTGGATTGGTAAGAACAACAAGGACTTAAACTAGTACTCTCGGATGGGGTACAAGCATCCAAACAGCAGCTTAACGTGCAACAGCATATCACTTGTCCCTAAAAATAGTTTACTTTTTATTTACTAACTTGAGGCATGCACGTGCGCACACACAAACACAGCTCTTATCCGCCGGTCTGGTCTACTCCTCAACGGCTAATGGGTGGGCAGGGACCAAATCCAGGAGCCCGACCACCCTGCAAGCCTCCCACGTGGATGGCAGAAATGGAACTCCCAGAGTCACCACCACTGCCTTTCAGGCTCCACATCGGTGAAGTTAATCAGGACACGGAGAAGCAGTCAATCCAGGGACTCCTACGTGAGACGTGTCACAGCCGACATCCTAAGCCCCAGGTGTAATATCTGTACTTCCAAGGGACTTTCTGAAGTATCTTTGCCTGTATGTCCACAGATGTTATTTCAGATGTTATTTTGGCTTTTTTTTCCTTTTTTTTTTTTATTTTTGACAATCTTTACATAGTTAATTAGGGCAAAAAGGTTCAAGGGCTACAGGAAAAGACTACTGTTTCCACATTTTTTTTTTCCTATATCTGGGGTAAAGGGGGAGGTAAAGGGAGAAGCCCCACTCAGTCTCAACCCTTCCCAAGTCCCCGATGCGGGGCATGCTCCGCGGATCTTGCTCAAGTGGTTTTGACAGTTCAACAGTTGTGAGTTGCTGCCAATCTTGCCATTCCAAGCACGATGAGGTCGCTGAAGAATCCTGATTGACACAGTCCATCTTAGAGTCTCCGTTTGCCCTGTTATTTTGGCTTCTGTTAAAAATACTGAAAAGTGTTCTGGAGCCCCCAAAAGATTAAGAATTATAAAATCTCTCTTCAGTTTTATAGCAGCCCCTGTTTCCTTATTAAGAGTCATGTAAACAGTTAAGAATAAAAACTTAATTAATTTGCAAGTGCTACTTAAAAAATTTGTACTACTGGACAGTTAGTCAGTTAGTCTCAGAAGCAGCCTGTACTGATATAACATTTTAGAGTTACAGCCAGATTAAACCAATGAAGCAGCTCAATCACTAGTAATATATAAAGTATTTATTTTTATGCACATATTTACCTACAAAATTTACAGGAAATAAAACACAAAGCAGGATATATAGAATACCCTCTTAACACTTCTCAGGAGCAGAGGGATTTATTGCTGCAATTCAAATAATAAAATATTATACATGGGAAAGCCAACATGAACACATTTCAGTTAGATGGCAGCCTTGTTAAAAAGTTTTTGTCCTATTATTGAATTTTGAGCTTTACATTAAATGAAATTTAAAAGATTGCTCATGAAATAATTTAAATCTTTCAAAATCTTCTAATAAACAGGTAAAAGGCACCTCCAGTACTTTAAAATATTTACAGCAATCCCAATAGTTTAATTTTAAGGTCTATTATTGTACACGTGGCTATTATGCATACACAGTATGTCATTAACACTCTCTAAATAGTGAGAATTGTAGACTCTGGTTTGTGGCACCACCCCCATGTCATCCTGGTGAGGGAGCAGGACAATCAATTACACCTTGGCAACACTAGTGTAACCAGATGTCAACCACAGCATAAAACCCAATTACCTAAAACAGTGATGATCAAATTCCTGGACAAACATAATTTCTAACTAAACCTGTATATTCAGAAGCCCCTGGGATGGTCTTTAAAGTACATTAAGCATTCAGTGAAAGCAATGGACTTAAAAAATGTAATGACCATAGTTGTTGGATTCAATATCTGCTTTAACAAAAACTTTCTCGAAACGTCTGTGATTTCTTAGGGCATAATGGAGATGACGTTCCCTCAGTCTCAGCTGGAGGGGATACTCCTGCAGGCGGACTGAGAGAGCAGTGTAGGAATGGAAGGCACACATAATAGCCGGGCTGAAAGGGCTGGGTGGCGAGATGTCCCTCAAACACTGGAGCAGGAGAACACAGTCCACACAACAGCCTCCTTTGTTGAACTTGGCATTGATTTGCTATTTACAGTAGTTTGCAAAAATACATTATAAAAACTGAATGAGGTTCTGTTTCTAAGTTTAACTTAGTAACATACATACATACTTCACCTGCAGAAATCTTCGCAGGATCTGAAGTACTAAAGTGACACTAATACTGACACACAGGTAATCCAAGGTACCAAAGCACTGACACCGCGCGTTCGCCACCATCGGGAAATATTGCACACTTCTTGTCCGTCGGTGCTGTGACCTTCACATATCCAGCTGTAAAGGAATCCTTTATGGCTTTTTTGCTGCATCACTGTTTTGGAAAAAGGCTTTTATAAGTCCCACAACGAGTACAGATTGTCATTGAACGTGAGGCCTAGGTTTCAAAATTAGCTTTCCTGTCTGTAAAAAAAAAAAAAAAAAAAAAAAAAAGGGAAAACCATGTCAATACACAGTTCTATTAAAAACACCACCATTTATTTTTAAGATTTAAAGGCTCTCTGCAGAGAATCAGAACACTTCCTCATACTGGGTCAAGGTTAAATAATGGTTAGGATTTCAGTTTCCTTTGTGTGGGCCATTCCCCCGAATTCTTTATTGTTTCAAAACACACACAAACCTCTATTTGAATTCCCTGTCCACTGGCTGGCTACCTAGAAATCAATAATCCACTGGATAAAACGAAGTCTCGTTCCATACAAACTATCCTTTCCCAGACTTTACAGCATAAATATACATAGATGTATCTGAGCAACAAACACAATTTTAATAATTTCTCATTAACAAGGATATCAATGGTTAGACAACGGACACTCCATATATTTCGTATAAATTGGTATAATTCCTATATAAGCTTGAGTCACATTTGTATAAAACATGAAGCCAGAGTCAGAGTCCGTCCGCGCTCCAGTCAGCGGCCTTCCCACCCACCATGACACACCTACCTTAGAGCAGTCCTGGCTCTGAGCTTTAAATGAACAAAATCGTAAGCACTATCTTCTTTTCTGCTTCTCTCACTCAATGTGTTTCTGAGTTTCATCCATTTTTTTGCATGCCTCAGTAATTTGTACTTTTATTATATATAAATACATTGAGCCAAAATGACAGCCTCTTTTTATAACCGATGGCACTATTATATGAATACAGCATTATGTGCTTATCCATGGTTTTATATTTTTCTTAATTTATTTATTTTAATTGGAAAGTCAGATATACAGAGAAGAGGAGAGACAGAGAGGAAGATCTTCTGTTGATTGATTCAGTCCCCAAGTGGAGCAGCTGGGACACGAACTGGCACCCATATGGGATCCCAGCACAGGCAAGTCAAGGACTTTAGTCACTGGGTTACTGTGCTGGGCCCGGTTTAATCTATTTTAAATCCTCCCGGGACTAGTGTTGTGGTATATTAAGTCATCACCTGTAATGCTGGTATTCTATACGGGCGCTATTTCACGTCCAATCCAGCTCCCTGCTGATGTGCTTGGGAAAAGCAGCGGAACACGTCCCAGCTTCCTGGGCCCTTACAACCACTTGGAACACCTAGAAGTTGTTCCTGGCTCCTGGTTTCAGCCTGGTCAAGGCCTGACTTTTGCAGCCATTTGGGAAGTGAACAAGCAGACGGAAGCTCCCCCTCCCCTTTCCTTCCCCATTTCTGCAACTATGCCTTTCATAAAAATCTTTTCTAAAAAAATTAAAAATTTTAGTTTTACTGGTAAGACACAATGCAATGCCATCATAAAAAAAAATTGGCACGAGGGGCCCAATGCCGTGGCCTAGCGGCTAAAGTCCTCATCTTGAATGTGCTGGGAACCCATATGGGCACCAGTTCTACTCCCAGCAGCCCTGCTTCCCATCCAGCTTCCTGCCTGTGGCCTGGGAAGGCAGTTGAGGGCAAAGACTTAGGATCCTGCACCCATGTGGGAGACCTGGAAGAAGTTCCTGGCTCCAGGCTTCGGACTGGCACAGCACCTGCCATGGCAGTCACTTGGAGGGTGAGTCAATGGAGGGAAGATCTTCCTCCTTGTCTCTCCTCCTCTCTCTATATTTGACTTTGCGATAAATACAAATAAATCTTAAAAAAAATTACTACAGGTTATCTGTGAATTTACATTCTCAGATGTAATAAATTTGGTTTCTAATGTGCTAAAATACTTACAGATTAAACATGTACTACTGGGATTTGTTCAAAATAGTCCAGTAAGAGAGGAATGTGAGCAGGGTACAAGTGGAGGAATGGGCAGGTGTCCAGCTGAGCACTTAAACCTCTGTCTGGGACATCCATTTTTTCTTAGTCCCAGTTCTGGGTCCTGACTCCAGCTTCCTGCCAAGGCAGACTCTGCGAGGCAGCAGGGGATAGCCCTCCACACTTGCGTTTCTGCCACCCACACAGGCAACCTGGACCGAGTTCTGGGTCCCTGGTCCCTGGCTGTCACAAACATCCAGGGAGTAAACCAGCAGGTGAGGGCTCCATTGTCTGCCTCTCAGCAACAACAAATATTTTAAGATTTCAAGTGTTACGGCCACAGTTAGATAGCTTCACAAGCAGCTACTTCTGAGACATGCTTGCATCAGTTTGTCTTACCACTCCTATTCTGGAAACTTTCTCACTAAAGCAACCTTACACTTGCCCCCTTCTATGGTGGGTGTGGTCTCCCCAGACCCCCAGCGAGTGGGCAGAAGTAGAATGGTTAAGTCATGAGGCATGCATACTTTACACAATGAAGGGCTAGCATTGTGGCACAGTGGGTAAAGCCACTACCTGCTATACTGACATCCAATATGGATCCCAGTTCATGTCCTGGCTGCTTCACTTCTGATTCAGCTCCGTACCATGGCCTAGAAAAAGCAGAGGAAGATGGCCCAAGTGTCTGGGCCCTGCCACCCATGTGGGAGACTGGGACGAATCTCTTAGCTCCACATTTTGGCCTGGCCCTCTCCTGGCTGTTGCAGCCATCTAGGGAATAAACCAGCAGATGGAATATCTCTCTGCCCTTTCTCTCCTCGACTCCAACCCTTTCATTAAACAAATATATACATATATGCACACCCACATTGTTATGTGTATATAAACAATATATATTTTTTCATTTATTTGAAAGCGGGGTTCCAGAGACAGAAAAGGGGGAGGAAGAGATTTTATCTAGTGGTTCATTCTCCAGCCACAACAGCCGGACAGGAAACTGGATCAGGAGGAGTAGCTGGGACCTTCAGCTGGCATGAAGGACATAGGAAGCAGACATACCTACCAATGGGCAGCTCCAGTGTGTCGCCATACCTGCCTCAAAATTTTTGTTGTTATTTTGTTTGTTTTGATAAGAGGCAGATTTAAATGGTTTTTTTCCCCCAAAAAAAGAGCCAATAGTCTCAACACCAACAAAGAGCCTATTCTTTCCCTATTGATCTGAAATACCATCTTCACTCTAATGTAAAAAACTGTTCAGTATCCATTATCTGCCAATGACCCAGGTTCCTGCCCCAATACTTCATTTTTTAATAATAGGTACTATTTCTTATGGTTTTTAAGGTAAAAGGAAGAAACACTTTTATATACAAAATAGAAGGTACTAATCAAAATTGTAAGACACTCGGAATACGGTGGCAGACAGTCTGCTGTTGGAGTGACACACAGGTCCCATGTCCTTAGTCCAAAAGTTAACCCATGCCTTTAGCATATGAAACCAACACCCACTGGGCTGCTCTGAGCCAGTAATGCCATCCCTGTTTTACTGACTCCAAGATGGATCCAATCATTAAATGCATCATGATTTTAAGTCACTAAGATTAAATAGCCAATTCTGCCATTTAGTTAGAAGCCACTGTTTACTAGACACATTTCAATTGTAGAGATGGCAAAATGGACAGAAATATATGTAAGAATCAATAAAGTATATTCCCACTACGAACTCCACAAATTTATCACTACTGCCAAACATTCCATTCTTTTCATGCACGTTTACAAATTTCTAGTAAAAAAAGCACTTACATCATCACAAGACATGTTGTACTCTGCTAATACTGTTCGACATCGAGCAGCTATGCTAAACAAATGTGGTCAAGGAAAAGCTCTCATTTCAGGATTAGGTTTCTAATGATTCTAGATTGAAGAGGTATTTTAATTTCATTTGGAGAATACAAATCCACGGGAAAGGATACATTGATGGTGCAACAACACGCTTATGTATGCCGGCGAAGAACAACCCTATTAAGGTGATACAGCTGATGGTGAAAAACGGATGATTCCATAACGACGTGAAGAAGGACACCTGTAAGAGATGAGGCAAGAACACGAGAAGCGTTACACACTCAGGAGTGCTCACTCGTCTCTCTCTACTCCGGCATAATCCTAGGCAGCCTAACCACCTGCTGCCACACTTCTGAGCACACAGAATCCTGTCACTGTCCCTCCCCTCCCCTGGTGAGCCACACTTCCAGTAAAAACCAAACATGAGCATGCTTCTGAAACCAGTACGATTTAGATGGCCACAGGACACTGAAATGATTAACAGCAACTACAGCGAACCAGAATTCCAAAAAAAAAAGGGGGGGGGGACTTATTTTTGCTGTGGGCACTTATTTTTGCTGTGGGCACACTATAGTCTGATTGGCTATACCAAAAAGAAAAAAAAGGTATGACTCAATTCTAAGGGTAAGTGAACCGGAACACAACTGGAAAAGAGCACCACAACTGGATGCCAGGGCAGAGAAATGTAGACTAGAGGGCGGCAGTGCTGCGGGGTGGCACCACCAGCATCCCACAGACACCAGCTCGAGTGTCAGCTGCTCCACTTCAGGGCTGTTTCCCTGCCAATGCACCTGGAAAGGCAGCAGAACGCAGTGCCAGCGCATGGGCTGCTGCACCTGTGTACAAGACCCACTAAAAGCTGCTGCTTGTGGCCTGGCCCACCCCTGCCGCTGTGGCCATTTGGAGTGGATCACTGGCTCGAAGACCTCCCTCATCCCAACCCTGCCTTTCAAATAAATACATCTAAAACACAAAAAGAAGAAGAAGAAAGGAAGGGCAGATGAAGAGACAAATCCAAGCATCTAAGGCCTCTGGGGCAGACGGGGACAGGCTCCAGCTGGGTACAGCCCTCTGCGCTCCCCCGAGACAGAGGAGTGCCAGACACCAGATTTCATCAGAGAAACAAGAGACTGGAAGAGATTCCAAAGCAAAGTTACTGATCCAGAGAGTACCTGCAACTCGCCGGGGACAGCTGAACTCCGGCCCAGTGGCGGCAGGTTGGCCGATGACTCCCTGCCTGAATGCACCCTGCAGCAGTGGTCTCGGGCTCAGCCACAAGCCTGGCTCCCCACACGGGCGAGCCACTAGTTTACAATTCCTGCTTCAGATGCAACTGCTGCTTAAAACTCCTGTCAGGTGTGGGTTATTAAATAATGAAATAAGAAGCACTAACCCTTAGGCTAATAGTTACATTCTCACCTAATTTAGAAAATCATATTAACTACATAGATTTGGGCCTATTTCAAATTACATTTAATTATGGGTTTTATTAAGATCTCAACCAGCTGAAATCAGCTTATATTTTCCCAATTAGAACAGGCTCATTTCCCAAGACAGACCTTTTTCAATCTTCTTGCCAGCCTCCTCCCTCTCTTTCCTGAAGATGAGAGCAAGTGCAGCCTTAAGATCAGGGTTTTATAAAGAAGCACACAGGAGAGCTTTCTGTCGGCCACAAAACCCCTCCAGTAACGTAAAACTCTGTCCCCACCTCCCCTGCCTGCCATCCTGTGTCTACCTCAGTGAGCACTCAGGGAAACAACGTCCAGATAAACCCGGGGCTGTCTGAAACACCATGCAGACAGCTGCCAAAAGCCTTCCTGTTAGGCCTTCCTTCTGTGTAACTTACAAAGCTATCCGTGAAGCCACTGGGATGGAAGTAGTCTATTTAACTAGTTTCCAAGGCAGAGGGAGGGTAGCATTTGTGAAAATTTAACACTGTAACCCCATAACTAAAAACCTCACTGTAGAGGAAAGCCCCATGCTAACTGCAGGCCTGTGCAACAAAGGCCCACGTTAGAAAGGGGTAGGAGTGTGAGAAACATCGGTCGGGCTTACATCACAGAGGCCTGCAAAAATCACCTTCCGATGAAACACTACGTTCTTACACAGCACCTGCTGGGAAAGTGTTACCCATATTAAACTCGAGCAAGCAAATTTTCTTAGAAATGCTTTAGCTCAAGAACTGGTGGTACAAATCCTCTTCAAGAACAAGAAAATCGAAGAATTTTTCTTGACTTCTTTTCCTTCCTGGTTGTAACTTCCCAGTCTACTTTTTTTTTTTTTTTACTGTGTCCTAACTTTTATTACCCTTGTATTTTGCTATTTTATCTTATGTTTCCCATAAAGTTAGATCAAAAGTTTTACAGAATGGAAAAAAGGTATTAACAGATAACTCACAAAAAAGTGTCATATTTTTTGACTTTTAAAAGATGACATTAAGTGAGTAAAGCAGAAGAGTGTGCACATTGAAACGAAGATGGGATATGTAAAAATTAAAAACTAAAAAAGGCTGTACACAAGTCCTGAAGTAAATGGAGAAGATAAACACAGTGGCCCTTACTTCTTAGGCCTTTTCCCCTTGTAAAGATACTTAATTCACAACATCCAGCCAAAATTGTTCCTTAAGCAAATTCATAAATGCAATGTTTAATATAATCAACAATATCACTAGCAGTGGCAGTAAGTAACACGTAACACAATGAACAAGGCACTGTATTATACCCTATCTCATTTCCCCTATTAGAAAGATTGAAAACAAAACGTCTACCTTTTGTGTCTCAGGGTCTATTAACCAGTTCCAGGCACCAGTCGCAGTACAGACAGACACCACTATAAGAAGCACTGATGAGAAACAGAACATGGAGTTAGTGAGCAGTTACACTGTGTCTGATTCTACCACCACCACTTCTGCTCAGTGACCAGGAAGGCAGCCTGGAATTAACTGACAACATGCCCACGGAGTTCAGAAGCAGCAGAGCTGACCTGAAGGAATCCTCCACAACGCTGGAACCTGCTGGAACCTCCGCAGTCCAGCACAGCTCTCCCTCGTGACTTAGCCAAACAGAAGAACTTAGATGTTAACAACTCAATAGAAGACTACTTTTATGTTACCTTTATTGTACTTCATGCTAATTTTACAGATCTTGTAAATTCAAACAAAAAGCCACACACATACATCTCTCATTTTCCAGTGTAAACAAACCAAAGACTCCTTTTTAAAGGCACTGGAACTTCCTGCAAAAGAGTATGTCCTTGCTGAGGAGCTGTCTGCTGCTGTTGACTCAACACAGGTCAGTGGGACAAAGTCGGGGTCAGCAGGAGGCACACCCATCAGGATCAGATGTTAAAGGATCTTATTAAAGGAACATCGGGTGGAAATCGCTGCTGGTAGAACTCAGAGTGGGTCCTTTCTCTCCGCTAACTCCACTTTCCTTGAGAGTTCTATGGAGATCTTGAAAGTACAACAAAATGTGATTCCCACGTATTAAGACACAAAATCTCCTTACACCTTTACAAGACAACTGTTTTGAGCCGACGACAGATTAAACCCAATTCCTTATATTTTTGTACTTCCATAAAAGAAATACAACGTATTTAGTTCTTTTTTTTAACCATTATACTAGAAAGGATCTCATACACATACTTGACTGTTAACAAATTCATACACTGTCATCTACACTTAGTGCTGCGACCTTGAGTCCAAAATGACATGTATTTATTTTATCTTACTTTTTGAAATTAAGACCTGGCTATTTCAAAATTCCCAAGCTTTATAAAAAAACCTGTTTCTTGGGGGGCAGTTCCCAGGTAAACCACGGAGCCCGAGAACATCATTTCTTGTAAATTGGAACCAACCCAAATTCTCAGTGTATGACTGCAGGGCTGAAACCCACATGGAGTAAACATGGCTCACTTTTCACTTTGGTAACTTCTGCTTTGCTTGCTTGGCTAAGAAACCGTGTGAGCCTGCAGGCCTACCGGTGTGACCTTTAGTGCCAATGGCCCTTAATCCGCATGAATCCAGGTCCCAACCTAATCAACCCAAAGATGACGCCAAGGCCAGAGTCTGGTTATCTCACAGGTGGCCTCCAGGCTGGAGTCCAGTTACCGTAATTACTGGACCAGCGAAGAGCCAGGCAGGGGCTGCCCAGCCTGAGACAGGCAGGGAACGTGCAGCCTTTCCTCCCCTCCTTTATAAGCTATTGTAAATTGGCCCCCTTGGAGCTGTTGTAAACAGCTCCTATAAAAACCCTGTGACTGCGCCATTTGGGGCACACTTCAGTAAGGGGTGTCATTGGTTGCTTTGCCTCTCGTTGTAATAAAACTTTGTGGTGACTGTCACTGGATGCAACATGACCCAGCGCCAAACAGATCTAGCAAGGATGCTCTAAAACACCATCACCCAGAGAAAGACCCAACCATGACAGTGCCACTTGAGTCCTTCAAACCGAGTCGCCAGAGAGTGCAATGGATCTGCTTCTTGGCAGGAACTCCATTCCAATAATGAACAATCAAAAAGTGAAGGCTGGACCCGCCACAGGTAATCATGGCTTTGGCCCCCATTGCCAGCTCACTGTCTGTGGGGAGAGCAACCACGCTTTGCTCAAGCCACGTTGCAGCCTCATGGAGTAAACAAAGACGGTGATCACGGCAGCTTTAATTCCAAGTTAGATTCCACAGCAGCATCGTTATGCTCAGCAACGAATCAACGAACGGTAGCTTTATACATTTTTTTTCTTGTTTGTCTTTTAAAGACCTTTTTTTTTTACCAGAAAGGCAGATTTACAGAGAAAAAGTTCTTCCATCTACTGATTCACTCCTCAAATGACTGCAACAGCCAGAGCTGAGCCAATGCAACGCCAGGAGCCTGGAGCTTCTCCTGGTCTCCCAGGTGGATGCAGAATCCCAAGGCCTTGGGGCTTTCCCAAAAGGCCCTAGCAGGAAACTCCGGCGGGAGTGGAGCAGCCAGGACATGAGTCATCACCCATACGGATGCCAACGCTTGCAGGTGGAGGATTAGCCAGCTGAGCTATTGTGCCAGTCCCAACTTCACAACCTTTTCAAGCATGCACTGATAATGTGATTTCCTTAATAAAACTTTATTTCAGGGACCAGTATTGTGGAATACTGAGTTAAGTTGCTCTCCACAATGCCAGCATCCCATATGGGCGCAGGTTCAAGTTTTGACTCTACATCCAGTCCAGCGTCCTGCCAGCGTGCCAGGGAAAGCTGTGGAGAATGGGTTGAATGCTTGAGCCCCTGCAGTCACCTGGCAGACCCAGCCTTGGCCAAGGTGGTCATTTAAACAGAGAACCAGCAGATGCATGGTCTCTCTGCCTCTTCCTATTTCTCTGTACTTCTTCCAAGGAAATATAATATTCAGAGGGTGGCCAGTTATGATTTTTTATAAAAAACTGGATAATGCACCGATCACGATGTTAAAGGCGTGAACTGTCCACACCCACACGCAGGCTTTGCAAGGAAGCACCTGTGAACCAAGTTTCCCCTGAAAACGAATTATTCCTGCCTAGGGACACGGGTATCAACTGTCAGGCTCATTTTCCCTTTCAAAAAACACTCAGCAACTTACTTCTCCAGCGTCCGGTGGCAGGTTGCAAACAGTGAATGTATTCAGTGAGTCGCCTCTCGAAAGCCTTGAGATCTAGAGCAAACAACATTTCGTTTTCCTCGTTAGAGCCCGGGGCTCCGTGTGGGCTTCACAGCCGACCGCCCTGGCGCCGTTCCCGTGCACGGCTCGCCCTCGGGAGGCTGCAGAGCGGCCAGCCTCGGCCGGTGCCCGCAGCCAGCAACGCCGGGAGGGCCCCTTCGGGACGCCCAGCGCGGAAGGGTCAGCGGCGCCCTCCGAGGTGGGCGCGCATCGTGCTGACAGCGGTGCTGCACCGCACGCGTCCCCGCAGGTCTGCCCAAGCCCTGCAGCCACCGGAAACCACAGTGGCAAGGAAGGCGGCCACCGGCGGCGGAGGGCCCGGGGCAGAGAGGCGAGCCGGGCAGGGCGCTGCACGCGCGGGCACGCGGGGACGGCCCCGGCAGCCACGGCCTACCTTCCGCCTGCTCCAGCGAGTTCATGTCGAGGAGCAGCTCCGCTCACCGCCGCGACCCCGTCCGCATCGCAGCTCGGCGGCCCCGACCGGCCCTCAGCGCCAACTCCCACCCCTAACCGCTGCCCTCGGCCCCGCCCCGCCGCCCCGCCCCTCACCTACACCCGCTGCGTTTACTGGACGGCTCGGCCAGACACTCGACTAAGACGGGCTGCTATTGGCTAAAGCCTGCGTCAGCCGCTGTAGGGGGAGGAACCTGTGATGGACGGTTCGCCGGAGGGGCCAAGAGCCGCTAGTGGCCGACCTGGTGTGTCGCTGGCGCCGCCTCCTGTCCCGGGGAGGAACCGCAGCCGGCACGGGCCCGTTGGGCAGAATCGTTTTGCTGGCTTCCTTTCGTTTATTGAATATTGAGCATGCTCATTACCTTCAAAGCTATATTCTGCTTGCTAACGAGGGAAGCAAACCGGCACGGACCTCAAGGGGAAACAAAATATGCACAAAACTAACTCGATGCCAAACACGGACGTTCTTCTCTTGCTGGCTGTCTTTTTACGTCATTCAACTGTATAATTTTTTTAAAAATCAGTAAGGCATTGACCACAGGTGTGTTGGATTATAACCCCTTCTTGCTCATTTGCTGGTGGTCCTGCATTCATTAAATCACGCAGGAACTACTTACATTCACCCCTGACTGCAGCCTCTATGGTAGCAGCGCACCCCATAGTGCACGGTATTTGCCAGAGATTTTATGATAATCAAACAAGCAACATTCCCTGCCCTCAAAGTGGAAGGCCACATAGCAGGTAATAGCCATGCTGTTATGTCATTGATTTCAGATAAGGGCAGTTACCTGAGGGAATTAACAGGGTAGTAAAATGCAGAGAGATAAAGGAAGGATAACAAGAGGGCTTTATGAGACCAAAAACTCAAGGTGGTTAAGAAGAAGCTAGCTGTGGGCTGGTGCATTGGTTCAACTGGCTTATCCTCCACTTGAAGCAAGGCATTCCATGTGCACACCAGGTCCTGTTCTGGCTGCTCCACTTCCCTTCCAGCTCCCTGCTTATGGTCTGGGAAAGCAGCGGAAAATGGCCCAAAGCCTTAGAATCCTGTGCCTGCATAGGAGACCATGAAGAAGCTACTGGCTCTTGGTTTTGAATTGGCTCAGCTCTGGCTGTTGAGGCCACTTGGGGAGTGAGCCAGTGGATGTAAATCTGCCATTTCAGTAAAAATAAATAAATCTCCAAAAATTTTTAAATTTGCTCTTATAAAAATATCATTTAATTTTTTAATTAAAAATGTATTGATTTTTATTGCAAAGGCAGATGTACAGAGAGGAGAGACAGAAAGATCTTCCATCCACTGATTTCACTCCCAAAGTGGCTACAAAGGCCAGAGCTGAGTCCATCCAAAGCCAGGAGCAAGGAACAACTTCTGGGTCTTCTATGTGGGTGCAGGGTCCCAAGGCTTTGGGCCGTCCTTGACTGCTTTCCCAGGCCACAGGCGGGGAGCTGGATGGGAAGTGGAACCGCAGGGATATGAACCAGTGCCCAATGGGATCCTGGAGCATGCAAGGCGAGGACTTTAGTCACTAATGCATGATCTTTCTTTCTTTCTTTCTTTCTTTCTTTCTTTCTTTCTTTCTTTCTTTCTTTCTTTCTTTCTTTCTTTCTTTTCCTTCCTTCCTTCCTTCCTTCCTTCCTTCCTTCCTTCCTTCCTTCCTTCCTTCCTTCCTTCCTTCCTTCCTTCCAGATTTGTTCTTATTTTAAAAGCTGTTTAGATTGACAGACACAAGGAGAGAGAGAGAGAGAGAGAAAGATCTTCCATTTGTTGTTTTACTCCCTAAGTGGCCGCAACAGCTGGACCTGAGCTGATCCAAAGCGAGGAGCCAGGAGTTTCTTCAGGGTCTCCCATGCAGGCTCAGGATTCTAAGGTTTTGGGATGTTCTCTACTGTTTTTCCAGGCCACAAGCAGGGAACTGGAAGGGAAGTAGAGCAGCCGGGACACGAACCAGCACCCATATGGAATCCTGGTGGTGTTTGTAAAGTGAGGATTTAGCCAATTGAACCATTGTGCCAGATCCCAAATTTTCAAAATAAGATTTATTTTACTAACCTGAAAGGCAGAGTAACAGAAAGGGGGAAAGACTGAGAAAATGAAAATGACAGAGATCTTCCATCTGCTGGTGCATTCCCCAAATGTTCGCCAGGTGGAGTTTGGCTAGGCAGAATCTAGGAGCCAGTGGCTCCTTTGAGGTGTCGCACAATGAGAGCAGGGGTCCATAAACTCGGACCATTCTTGATTGCTTTCCCAGATGCTTTAGAAGGGAACTGGGTCGGAAGCAGAGCAGCTGGAACTGGAGCTGGCACTTGTATAAGAATGTATTCTCTCTTTAAAAAAGAAAGAAAAAAGGACTTATGGCTGCCAGGGTTCCAGTATCACAGATGGAGCCACCTGTGACACCTGTATCCCATATGAACATGAGTTTGAACCCTGGCTGCTCTGCTTCCAGTCCAGCTTCCTGCGAACGCACCTGGGGAACCAGCCGAAGATGGCCAAACACTCCTGCTACCCACGTGGGAGACCTCCAAGGGGAGTTCTAGGCTCCTGGCTTCTGCCTGGGACCTGGACTGGCTCTTGCAATCATTTGGGGGAATGAACTAATAAATGGAAGAGCTCTCTGTGTCTCTTTCTGTAACTCTGCCTTTCAACCTTGGAAATAGATCTTTAAAGAAAAAAATCTTTTTTTTTTTTTTTTTCAGAGAGAGAGCACAATCTCCTCTTGCTGGTTCACTCCCAGGTTATGTCAAATGTCCTCCCCCGCGCCATTGGTGGGGCCGAAGGCAGGAGGCTTGGTGGCATCTCAGTCATGTGGGCCATCACTGCTGCCTCCCGGGTCAGCACCAGCAGGAAACGGGAATCAGGAGCTGCAACCAGGAACCGAATGTAGACATTCTGATAGAAGAGTCAGAGGTTAAATGGTCTCCTCTGTTCTTTTAAAACTCGTCCTTTGTTTTCCTTCATAGTTTTACTACATACATATGCATTCCTAAACATCTTTTTTTTAATATTTATTTTATTATTTTATTTTTTTTAAGATTTATTTTATTTTTATTGGAAAGGCAGATATACAGAGAGGAGGAGAGACAGAGAGGAAGATCTTCTGTCCGATGATTCACTCCTCAAGTGAGCGCAACGGCCGATGCTATGCCAATCCAAAGCCAGGAGCCTCTTCCGGGTCTCCCACACGGGTACAGGGTCCCAAAGCTTTGGGCTGTCCTCGACTGCCGGGATTAGAACTGGCACCCGTATGGGATACTGGCGCGTTCAAGGTGAGGACCTTAACCACTTGTGCCATCATGCCGGGCCCATTTATTTTATTTTTACTAGAAAGTCAGATATACGCAGAGGAGGCAAGACAGAGAGGAAGATCTTCCATCTGGTGAGTCACTCCCCAAGTGACCCCAACAGCCAGAGCTCCTCAACTGCTTTCCCAGGCCACGAGCAGGGAGCTGGATGGGAAGTGGGGTTACCGGCATTAGAACCGGCGGCCATATAGGATCCTGGCAGCGTGTATAAGGCAAGAACTTTAGCTGCTAGGCTACTGTGCCAGATCCTTAAGCACCTTTTTATCTGGTTTTGTATGTTCATAAATTTTATTAAGTAATTTCAGGTCAGGAACATTCCTCTGAGAGCTGGCATATTCATCATTACTGATGCCACTATTCATACGCATTGCTGGCTGGAATCATCCAGCAGCCATTTGCACTGTGATGTTGTAATCCATTGTAAGATCCATCATTTATTTTTATGTTCTGCTGTGGATAGATATTTGGAGAGCGCCTTTTCTCTTCTCTCTTCCCAGCTTCTTGCATGAACAATCCTTGCGCTTGTCTCCTGGTGTGCCTGTACAGGGATTTCTCCTGGGAAGTGCCTAAAAGGTAGTTTTCTTCATTTTGCTCACAAGAAGAAAAGTTTTACTTATGACCCGGTATACACAGACATACATTTGACCTGACTTTTGGTGTCACATCTTGGCATTTCCTATAACACTTGAAGCAATCTGTGTTTTAGAAAAAGATTTATGCATTTGTTTTGGTAAGTCAGATTTACAGAGAGAGGCAGAGAGAAAGATCTTCCATCTGCTGGTTCATTCCCCAGATGGCCACAATGGCTGGAACTGAACCGATCTGAAGCCAGGAGCCAGGAACTCCTTCCAGGCGGGTACAGGGTACCAGGCTTTGGGCCATCCTCTGCTGTTTTAGTCGGCCACAAGCAGGGATCAGGCTGGGAAATGGAGCAGCCGGGACATGAACTAGCATATCCAAGGCAAAGATTTAGCTATTGAGCCATCACATTGGGTCCTTGAATCAATTTTTGAAAGGCTTATTTACTTATTTGAAAGGCACCATAAAAGAGAAAGATCTTCCATCCCTTTGTTTACTCCCCAAATTCTCAGAAGAGCCAGGCCTGAGCAAGGCTGAAGCCAGGAGCCCAGGATTTTCATCCACATCTTGAGTTAGTTCATGGGTGGGGCCCAAACCCTTGAGTCATTACGCACTGCCTTCTACAATGCGTTGTAGGGGAAGAGAGTCGCCGAGGGTGTGGTCCGTTCCTGGGACTCCGTCCCTGCCTGGTACCACATGACTGTCATTAGGAAGCAGCCTGAGGATTTGCGACTTTTTTTTTTACATTTTATTATTGTTGCTATCATTTTATGATACAGTCCCATATTCCCTTATCTCCTCCTCAATTCCCTCCCCCCCACCTAGTTCCTTTATATCATTACTAACATACAGTCCTTCATACTCAGTCATATGTCCATCATTGCGGCCATGGACAATGGCAGAGAGTCCAGAATCCTATTGTCAAGATATAGTAAACAGTTTCATTGTAAGTCCATCTTTGTCTGGAAGCAGAAATACATACTACACTGCATCCTCACATCTGGGTGTTAGTCTCCATTACACAACTACTGTACATTCCCTTAAATGAAAAGTCATAATACAAAATCAACAATAGAAAGAAAAATAGAAAGTTACAATGCCATGAAGTTAAATGACATGTTACTAGATATGACAGTCTCCATTACACAGCTACT